TTAGGACTATTTAAACCTAAAAAGTTTACCTTGGCTGTGTATGATACGTGAGTGTACATGACGTATTCGTCCGACAGGTGTTCGTGGTGTTCGTAGCGCCTGAAATGTAAGATGTAGAAACAAAATATCTAGGACATTCCAGGACAAAAACATTTGATTACATATTGAAAAATTCTATATGACCCAAACTATTCCGTATGTAAAACAGACGTATTTTGAGAATTTTGAATTCAAATTAATGATAAAAGGTACACAGCTTGTTTTCCTTATATAATACTTAATTAAACACTTTCATTGACATTTCATATTTAAGAATTTAAAAGCACTTACTTCCCGTCAAATGTGTACATGTGTGGGTCGTTCAAAGCTTCACATCTTTTACCCCGATAATACGTGCTTGTTTCTGGTTTAACCAAAACCTGAAAATAATTCTTTGTCTTTTACTTTCATTTGTATAATTATATGAATTCAATTTTGACAATAATCTGACAAATTTCTATTTGCATAATATTGGATATTGTTGATTTTTAACATCACTATTATAACTTCATCCGTTTTATCCTATATTATTTTATTTCTTTGATTGTTATTTTTTGTTTGGATTTATAACGTCTTACCGTCACAGCAGGTAATGTATAATCCCTCCATATCGAATCATTTGACACGTGATTTGTTCTTAGGATCACTTTATGTGTAGCATCTTTTTGTACGCCGTATTGTCCATCTTCTGTGGCTTGAATTTGAAGACTACTTCTGCTACCAGCATTTCCCGGTACATTGATTGTACATTTTCTGGTTGAAATACCTTAAAATCACATATAATAAGCATATAATTAATATAATGAAATGATAACGATCCATACATACGCATTAGATATAAAGACAACGATAGTGCCACATGTATATGCATGCTTTACAAATCATTCCCTCACCGCTTCTTTCCAGAATTATCAAACTTATTTTGCCAAAAGACCCAAACATCGGGCTACAAATCGTACAAATGTCTATTTGATATTTTTTCCATTTTGAGTGCTGCTCTTATTCGATGTAGAATTTTAAAGTGCATGTTTTTAGGCTTTTTGGCCCCCAGAGAAGCTCCTTTAAATACATATAATAATGATGCTATTTGTTACAGGTGCTTCAATTACTATAGATAATATAAATAAAATCCTGAAACAGTATTTTGTCTTGTATTTGATTTTTCCCTCAAATATATTATCCAAACATTAAAGCATCTTTGTAGCCGTAACTAGACTATGTAGTTGTAGGCCGTAGCATAGTATGTAGGATGCCGTTTCAGGTAACATTCTATTTATCTATCTCTCTAACTGTGCACTTTACACCTTATTCTATTGTTATGCTAAATATTTGACTGTATTGACCAATCGCAATGTACAATATCGATGAGACTACCATGTTATCATTGAATTGTATATTCGATTGAGAAATACATTTGAATAATTGCAAAATATATATTGTTTTATATATATTTTCCAGGTAATTTTTATAGCATCGTGTTTGATATACATGTTTCTACAATATTGTATGTTAATATGTAAATCTGTTTCGTAAATAATGCTTTTGAAGATGTTTTTCTATGTGTCTTTGTGTAAACTATATACGTCGCCATATTTGTTCATTGTTTACATTGATAATATCGATGAGACTAACATGTTGTCATTGTACATTGCGATTGGTCAATACAGTCAAATATTTAGCATAACAATAGAATAAGGTGTAAAGTGCACAGTTAGAGAGATAGATAAATAGAATGTTACCTGAAACGGCATCCTTTATACTATGCTACGGCCTACAACTACATAGTCTAGTTACGGCTACAAAGATGCTTTAATGTTTGGATAATATATTTGAGGGAAAAATCAAATACAAGACAAAATACTGTTTCAGGATTTTATTTATATTATCTATAGTAATTGAAGCACCTGTAACATATATGCGTATTGATTCAATTTGCTTATAATAATAAAGTTATATGCTTATTGATTCAATGCGCATATAATGATAATGCTATATGCGTATTGGTTCAATATACATATAATAATAATGCTATACACATATGCATTTAAGTATACATAAAATAATGCTACATAATTCGCAATTTGATGAATATGTAGGAATGCTGCTTGAGGATTGGACGTAAGGATCGATATTTGTGAGGAATAAATAATCAATAATGCATAATTTCTCGATTTTCCTTGTTTATTCTATTTATTAAACCACGTTTTCTCTAAACCGGAAATACACAAAACAGGTCTAACACCACTAAAAATAATACTTCTTCCAAAAGAAGCTTATTCGATTAGAAACTATAGTTAACTCTTTTGGACAAGGATTATTTTCAATGTACATTTTTTATAATATATGCTTGATATACATTGGTATTTCAAAATGTATTTGACTTTAATGCTCGATTATACGCATTTGCATGTACATATGATAACAATGGTTTATACATGTAGAAATGCCATATGCATATGTATTTAAATACTACTATACATACAATGATAATGCTTTATATGTATGTGTTTTATTTTATTAGATAATTATAACGCTATATGCTTTCGCATTTAAATTAACATATGATAATAATGGTGCATGTATAAGCATTTTGATACATTGATAATAATTTTAATAGAAACGTGCGTATTGCAGTTGCCTCACATGTATTTATCTGTATAGAAATCGAAAACAAATGGTTTGAAATTCACAAAGAAACATTAGAAAAAGTAAAACAAAACAATATGCAAGATAAAATTAATGGAAAGTTGGTAAATTTACCGGTGCAATTTTTACTGACTGGAATAGAGATTGCCAACGTGAGATTGCATGTGTCTATTTCTGTCGTCTGCATCCTTGTGCAGCCGAATGGAATAGTGGGGGAAAACAAAATTGCTGCAGTCTCGTCCCTGTGCATAGTTATCATCGGAGTTAAAATCTTAAAAACATTGATAAATACTAAACATTAATGATTAAATATAGCCCATATCAAAGCAATGGTATTACCATTAGTATGAAAGTGTTACCTAGAGCAAAAGGATTTTTAAAGAGAGTCTTTTTGAATTCATTATAAGTTATACAACAATTTGCAGGTATGTCAGCAAGTTCTTTACCTAGATTAAAGAGATTAGACTTTGTCCGACATTAAACAATCTATCTTCGAGTATAATTTGCATAAAACAAGGTTAAATTAAAATAAATACAAAATTAGAAGATCCACCAATTTATTAATATTTGTTCCAGTTTATCAATATACTTTGGCAATTAATTATTTAAATAGCCTCTCTAATTTTACAGTTCGTTGTCTAAATTAAACTATTAAAATTCCTCGTACCTTGATACCAGCAAACAAAAGCTCAGAAGAAACTGAAAAGTTGGTATCCAGTGAAGCATGTCCTTCAGCAACTGCACATGATATCTGCAATATCAGACAGTACAATCTAAAACTGAACAAGAGCTCAAGTGAGGTTCAAAAACCGTATCAGCCTAAAATGTGTAATTTCTTTTAAGATCAGATCAGCTTGGGCACAAACAACGGACAAATACGAAGAAAGTTAATAAGTTGGTAAAGCAATGTTCAATATAAAGTTGAAAATCGTTATTTAATGAGGTTCTTAACTCAGTTTGTGTTAAATGCGTTAAAACGCTTTTTATATTTTACGATATTTTGCATCATCTAAATTTATTCTTAAAAAGGAAATAGATGTACAAAAGAATTTGTAATAATAAATATACATGTACATTGTCGTATGATGTAAGAGAGAACATAACAACTTAATATGTCAAATTCATGTAGATAAAAAAATTGTCAACTTAGGTATTGATTGAAGCAGATTATTGAAACTTATATTTTCATCCATTATGTAATATTTCCTAAAAATAGCAAACACATTATTATGGCTGACTTTGTAGAATGGTGACTTCACTTAAGATAGTTAAAAAGTTTTACATTTGAAATTACAGGCGGTCAATTTTACATGAAATCGTAAAAATGTATCTGTATGTTATTTTAATGACACTTACATGCTTTTTTTTACTACATGTATATGCTTTGTTTTATGTTTTACAAAAAATTGGAGATGTTTTATTTACATAAACGGGAAGAAATAAATAATTATTTTGTGTTCTTTACATGCAATCTGTAAAAGTTAAGATTTACATGAAATGGTAGGAATATATGATTGTTCACTAAATCCTCTTCTGTTAAAGACAAACTCTGTACATCTTTAACATGTTCAGCAACTTTGGTTAATGTAAAGTTCCTTTCTTTTCTCTGGACGGTCCAGCGTACGCTTAATATATTGTCTTGCCATGGTTGAAACTTGCATCCGAATGTTGTTGAGCTTATTGCAAATTTTTTCGCTCGTTTTGGAGCCAAGATAAACCTCGATTTCAGGCTCTGTGGATGAAAAACATATGGTAATTTCATAAACGATTGGTCAAAAATGATAGCTTTTGGAACGTATAAAATCATTCTCGAGCCATATTTATTATTTCTATACTTTCATGGGTTATCATAAAATTCTTTTTACGTTTCATATATGTACAAGAGGTATTACGTTATCAGAAAAGGGAGCATAAATTCTTATCTATTTGTAAAATTTGAAACACGATTTTTAAACACGTTATGGGTTACTGTAAAGACTGCAATTTGAATCATAAATGAAAAACTTAAAAGCTACTTGCGAGTTATAATCCATTTTGTACACAGTACAGTGCGTACACCGTTTAAATATGTATAAACTTCCACAATATACTTTGTTCCAGATACAAGTTCTTGAAAGCTTTCGAAGACTGACGGCTTGTCAACTTTGAACGACTCAACAACACTGCTATTCTCAAGTAAAAGTCTTCCGTAAGCAGTCTTGTTTTCACTTCCACTGTTGAAGTATATTCTTACATTTAAACTATTGTTAGTTACTGATGCAAATGGTATATCAATAGTTACTGTTGGTGCCCGATAAGCCTTTTCTGAAAGACAGATGTCAGCAGATAATTCAATGATTTGTTGTTTTGTTGTTTTTTTTGGAAAGATTATCTATGCTATCATTTTATATATAGAAAATCAACTGTTTTTATTTTCTACATAAACACTGTGTGTGCATGTTATTCTCTGCACAAAAAATGTGCGGAAACAGTATTGTTACAAAAACTGTCACACAAAATTTATTTCAAATGCATAATAATTATTGACTCCAGACTGCTAAAAGCTAAATTCGAGATTTACTTACGAGTCACAGCCCATGCTGAAGCTATAACCTGTTTGTCTACATGTTCATTTGAAAAGATCTGTACGGTATAGTTTGTTGCGGATAGAAGATTTTCCCATTTTACAACTCTTGATGGCTCATCAATAATAACTGATCTGATAACTGTCCCGTCACTCATGACTAACTCAGCAGTGATATTTATTCTGCTATTATTCAAGGCAGTTGTTATTATAGACGTGGCAAAACTATTAGGCGTGATACTGTCTGGATTGATTGAAACTGCCGAGTTAATAAATCCGTTTTGTCCCCCTTCAGTGTTTTTAGGTGTTTCTAATTTAAAGTATAGTGAAAAGGCAATGAGGAACCTAACTGATTTTCATGAAATCAAAAACAAAACCTTAATGATGTCGTACAAGATTTTCCATATATGTTTATTAACCAAAGACAAAGCATTTTCAAACAATGATAGGCTTTGAAAAGAAAAGATGAAACATTTAAAAAAAATCTTTTTATTTAAGTGATCCTACTAGTTGATATACTTAATATATGAAGATTTATTTTCTCCGATTTGATACAGCCATGTCAAATATAATAGAATGATAATGAAATTGTATTTTTACATTTGATTCAAATGCTTCCTGGGCAAAACTGCAACACATAAGAACATCGACCATTGACGGACCAGCCGAAAATGGTCTCTTTTAATTGCACTGAACTAATTGTTTACAAAGGAACTACTATCTTAGCGCAAATGTCGTCAGTCAAAATCAACTGTTTACTACATCTTTGACTGAATATTCATAAAGATTTATTTGTAAAGATCTTTTATGCAAATTGAAATCGAAAATTAAAATAAATAGAACTTACTCGGTTTGTCAATTCCTGTGAATAAAGGAGAAATAAAAGATATATTCAGGAATTAACGAATCACACCAACAACATTATTGTGGTAATGTATGGAAATGAAGTTATCACCGGATAAAATTGCAAAACAGAATAGCATTTGTTTATACTATTTAATTCGTTATGAAGGAAAACAAACTGGAGATGTTTAGTTAGAATAGAACAAAACGGAATTTAAATTAACAAAAGTGAGGTTGATAATGCTAAATGAATACAGAAATCTAGCAAATACATAAAATTTAAAAAAACAACTTAATACTCGAGTTTAGTCACAAAAAAGCATATTGAATGCTTAATTTAGTTAGAACGTTTTGAATTTTTAAATGATGGTTTCTTTGTTTCTGTTGTTGGTGTTGTGTTTTTTGTGTTGTTTTCTTTGTGTGTTCTTTCCTGCACTAATGAACTAGTAATTGCCAATTTCTTCTCAGATGACCAAATACCAATCAAAATAAATGATTTATTGAATGCAAAGTTTAAAAATGCATGCTGAATTCTACCAATGATTGAGGACTATCTTTCATTTGTTCTTGTTTTATTAGATCTACATATTAGTTTTTTTCAAAAAGACTCGTCTTGTAAATAGTATTCAATAATTCTACACATGTACATGATTTAGTCATTTATACTTTTAACTATAATAAAAAAGATAAGCAACTTACCAAAGCAAAAACCAGAATCATCAGGGCTTTGCTGTAAGTGATAAACAAAATAGCTTCCACAGTTCTTTACTTGTATTTGAATGATGTTGTGACAGGATTCTTTGAATTTCACGCAGGCTGTTCTGTTGACAATGCCATCATCTATACTCGGCAGAGTACCTGTAAGCGTTAAAGAACATTTCAAAAGTATCATTTCAACAATTTACGGGATGACGGTACACCGCGATATGGCGTCTTAAGATGCGTGTCGTGGTACTGAAGCATTGTACCACGTGTTTTCTTGAATCAGAAGATTAAGTTCTACATGTTTTAAGACTTTTCCACCATCACTTTTAGTTGATATGTGTCAATATTCAATCCATGCAAATAAATAAATTAAAAAAAAAATTCTTTTTGGTTTGCTTTATGATATATTATATTATATTATATTTTATCATATTATATTATATCATATCATATCATGTCATATCATGTCATATTATATCTTATTATTATAAAGAAACATTGTTGATTGAATTATTGCTTATTCTGTAAGCATCATCGCATATCAAGTTGAATATTTCATACAAAGTCTTAATATAGTCATTATCAATATCTACGCGTACAACTGTCTATGAACAAATGTAACAATGATATTTATAACAATAATGACAGTTTCTGCAATAATCAGATATAATATTACAATAGAATTAATTCAAATGCAAATTATCACAATATTATCTACTCGTGTTTGATTTACTGATTATCTGATAGAATTGAGTTCTATATATTAATCATTGTGTTTCATCCATTGTTATTTTATCCTGATATTGACTTAAATACAAATCATATTACCATTCATCCAAATAGGAAACTTGTAACCGCATGAACAATAATCTGGAGGGTAGTTTACAATTGGATCAACGCCAGCATAAAACCATGCTCTCGCAATTCTTCTGTCTGTGTAAGGACATACACCATTAAGTTTCGCATATCTCTCACTTATATGAGAAATGTTTCTGTAAACGCTTGACAAACATGGATCAGCAGACTTAGCTACACGACAGACCACAGCATATGCTGAAAATTACCATTGCTTGTAAAAGAATTGATTATTTAAAGTCTTTAAAGTTAAACTAATTTAAAATATCCAAAGCCGTGTTGAATACTGGTTTTCAAAGCAATCTATAATGCCATTATCAACCGTCTTTTATAAATGCAGGTAACTCAACGTATTCTTATAACATGGAGATATAATTTTATACAGTGATAAACGCAGATGGCAAATTTTATCTTCCATATCAGAATGTCTCATTTAAAGCGAAGAAAAATTTATTATTCTTATTGAAACGAAAACAAACAAAAAAGCCTTTTTCTCTACAAGAAAAATAGATGGAATATTTACCCAAAATTGCATATGCTAAAATCATCATTATCCTAAATATTAACGCATTTGAAACAACCAAAATAATGTATATACACTACAATGCACTCTGTTTTCTTTTGGGTACGCAAAACTTATCTGACAGCGAACAAGGGACTTCAGTGGTTATCTTATTAACCAATCAAAAACAGGTTTTTAATTTCACATACAGAGGAAGTTATGATAACACCGATAACAGCCGTATTAAATAGTCATATCAACTAACTGTTGATGAGATGTCGGATTAATCATTTTCATTTATGAAGATGAAGAAAGTCATCTTTTTCGGCTTTATCATATGTTTTGCGCTTGGAAAAGTCTCCACTGGTAAGATGTATTTCATTTATTTATTTATTATGTAATTTGAAGAAGACATAATTAAAATGAGCATCTGAATGATGCGTTGTCTTAAGATATTGCATCGAAATTTTGATGTATTTTTTGTTTAACTAAATTTATTTTAATTTAGAAATTACATCTGGTAAACATTAAAAAATAAATAAAGTGTTAGTGATAATAATACGACATTTACAATCAAACATTTCAATATCCTATGCCCATGTTATAACGACATTCGCGATAAAATTGCCAATTTGCAATATACCTCATAAACAGTAGGAAATTAGACAAATGCAGAAACTTTCTACATTATCAACATTAAATTTTGCATTTACATGTAGAAATGCAACCTCTATAAGTAATATGATTTGCATTAAATTTTGACAATTAAATAAACGACCAAATTATAGTAATTGCAAAAATTAATTAAATAATATTTAAACGATCTTTAATGGGTCTAAAGCTGCAATTTATATTTCCTACTGACATTTTTAATTAATGAATATTTTAGCATTTAGTGAAGTTTACAGAACAGACTACGAATGTTAATGTAATTGAAATTGAATACTTAACTTGAGAGCTTTTTCAATATGCTGGTAAGATTTTAAAATATACAAATTACATGTTTTTGGATAGCAAGTCACATTTTTCTTCAAAAAATGTTTTATGAACATGGATATATGTTTGATTAAATCAACGTCTGTAGTTTAAATAATAAACCGTTTTTGAATAACAGCTGAAGTGAGACTCGTCGGTGGACCAACATTATATCAAGGGAGACTAGAAGTTAGGAAAAGCAAAAGTAATCCCTGGGGTACCGTTTGCGACGATCAATTTGACAATGCCGACGCTAGTGTAGTTTGTAGAATGCTTGGATTTGATAATACTGAGTATGTTATCCATTTAAACTTATAATTGATTATTTCACGTTATCCCAAAGACATGTCTTACTATTGGTACAAAAGTAAGAAACAAAGATATATATTTGATCAAAATGAAAGGTGTAAAATTTATAATTAACATATTGATTTTTTATCAAACTAAAATACTATATTTAAACTTTTTCAATAAAATTCTCAAATACGTTGCTGCTTGAAACGTAATCATAGCTCTGTCTTCACTTATGAAAATATAAAGATAGAAAATTGTGTGATTCATTTTTGAAAGTTTACAAATTGCATATTATTCATACTGAAAGCTACAATGGACACAGTGTTAAAGTTGTTACTTTCGTTTGTTATTCAAATATGTATTTTGTAAAACAGTTTGAAAATTACTTTTAATTATAGAAGCTCGTCAATAATAGATCCCAACAGATTTGGACCAGGATCGGGTAAAATCCTATTGGATGATATGAAATGTATTGGAAATGAATCAGATGTGTCAGACTGCGAAAAAAACAAATGGGGAGAGAGTGATTGTGGTCATACTGAAGATGTCGGTGTCAGCTGTCGTAAGACGATTTCAACTCTAATTTTAGATTGTTTTAACAACATAATAAATGTTAAGAAAAAGTAGTATAAAAGAAGATAATTAAAATCTTCAGAATTATTAATATTAAATTAAAATTAGACATGACTCAACACTTGATAAAATCCTGTAAATTGAGTTTGTCAAGTTATTCTTCAGTTACACCCGCAAGGCTTAAAAATGGGCTTCCTCCACATTCTGGTAGAGTAGAAATCCAGCGGAAAGGTTCTTGGGAATCTATTTGCTATGATGGGGTTAACCAAAATACCGCTAAAGTTTTATGTCGAATGATGGCTTTAAGCACCGGGTACGTCTTCCGTTTCTTTTCTTTTCATTCATTTTGACGTTATTTCATGTCTTCATTTGTTTATAATAAACTTCGTGTAATGCAAACCTCGGAAGCATTTATAACAACAAAGTTGCATGAAAATTACATGATAAATCACATTAATCTTATTTATGAAAATAATCATTCATTATTTAAACAGATGTAAAGCGAAGGATGAAATAAAATGAAAAATATACATGTATATCTTTTGGTTTTATTTCAATTATTATTATAAACTTTTTTTTAAATATAATAGAAACAGATAATAATTATGTCGTTTGAATCACATTCTCACAAATATTAAGAAAAACTATATAAATATAATATGTAATGAATAGGGATGTTGAAATAAAGCCGAATGATAGCAACAAGAATATTTCAACAAGTAAATATTCGTGTAATGGTACCGAGAAAGATATTTTACAATGTCATCTTTCAAAAAGTCAGTGTCAAACTGCAAGAAGTACTAGCATCAACTGCCGTGAGTGATTTTTATACATATTTCAGAAGTCCAGTTGTTTAAAATAATTCTTAAATTGCATTTTGAATTTGAAACTCTATTATATTGCCTTTATTTTTCATACGGGCCAAACAGCAAGTTTGCCATCTGGTAACATGTTAATTAACAGCACAATGTAGGGTTCGGGCGCTACTCTTTTTTGGCTGTGATGTGTCTAGTTCCGGTGATTGCAAAATCATTTGAACCAGAGAGACATGGGGGCATAAGATGAGGGTTCGACTAGCTCATTGTAGCCTGACAAGTGTAATTTCTTGCATTTACTAGTCGAACCCCTTTGATCATAATAAGCGACCAATTTCTCAATTTACTGGTATTTTAATGTAAGGCCTGAATGTTCAAGTTAACTGTTTTGCAAGTCTGACTTTTTTGAAAGTAACACATTGGTTCTTTAAGTCAAGTTGATATGAATGTACGAAATTTATAACATTTACGTGTTTTCTTACATGCTTTTTATGAGCATCATGTACGTGGAAGAGAAAAAAAGGGGGCATATTTAGTGAAACCAATTACACTTGTTATTTCATAAATTAAAAAACGCGTAAAGGTACAGAAAAGTACTCTTTCTAAACACATTCATGTTTTTTTCAATAGGAACTGATGTGCGTCTAGCTGGTGGGCCTAATCAACAGGAAGGAAGAGTTGAAATTTACTTTCAAGATAACTGGGGAACAGTGTGCGATGATTCCTTCGATGATAATGCAGCTTCAATTGTCTGTCGCATGCTTGGTTTTAATCCAAAGTAATCCAAAAAAAGAAAAATGTTTATAAATTGATAAAAGGCATACATAATTGACATTTATAAAATTTACTTTATTTAATTGATAATTATAGCCAAGAAATGAATGACATTTTTAAATTCATTGTAAACAAATATAAAGATAAATAATTCAGCAATAACATTCAAGTTTAAAGTTAACTGCAAAAAGGCATCGCTTTATTAAATAAAATAGCTTTTTAATTTGTTGATGTTCAAATGAAATACATACCTTGCAAATATTAGTATATGCATATAATATAATTAATACAGTGGTGCAAGAGCGAGAGGCAGACATTTTTACGGACAAGGAAATGGAAGCATTGTCATTGATAACTTACGATGCTCAGGAAATGAGGCGGATATCTCAGAGTGCAAGTCAAACATGTGGGGGTCTCACACTAATTGTGATCACAAAGAGGATGTTTCGGTAGATTGTCGTAAGTTTGGCATTTTAGAATAGTGCGTGGAAAGTCAATTAAGTAATATAATACAGCGAGATATTTTAGTTTACATATTTATTATATATTGATTATGAATATTCATTTTATTAATTTTTTCTGTTTGTTAGGAACTGAAGTCCGTCTAACAGATGGCCCAACACGATATTCAGGTCGCATAGAAATTAAATCAAAGTTTTCATGGGATAACATGTGCGATGACTCGTTTGATAACAATACAGGAATTGTCATCTGTAAGATGCTCGGATTTGAAAGAGGGTAAGGTTAATGTTTGATTAGTTATTTAGTTATTTATACATGTAAGACGTCTATAATACGCTTGAGAGGAAAATATACAATACAGTGTGAGGTTCTTTATCAACATCACTTAAAATAGTGTTCCTATTGTAAGTAAGTCATTTAAAAATCACTTGATATTTCTATTTCGGAAATTTTTTTATCAGACTTACTTAACTTTACTGTTTTAAGTTATTTATCAAAGTAAATGTTAATTTTAATCAGAAAATGGAAGACTTGATTAATGTATGACACCCACCTTTTTATCCTGCATCGCAAACGAAATGATACAGATTTTGCGTTGTCCACCCGGTCGTCCGTCTTTCCATCCTTCCGTTTTTCCGTCTGTCCGGTGTCTGTCCATGTAATTGAATGTTGCACAAAGCTTACACTACATGAACTTCATTTCGGAAATCAAAATCTCATCTATGATTACATCTCATTGATAGAAAGTGATGTGGTTAAGAATAATTAAAATCACTGTTTAATATAACCATTATCTCTTTGACATAGTTTTAAAATTATTGCCTTTTTAGTTTTTTTCATACTTAATTTTACGCAAGAAGTATAAAAATATTAATTTGTAAAACCACAGCTGTGTTCATCTCAGTAATTAGAAGCACACTGTTTTAGAACCATTACTCTTTTTTATTATTTTAGTGATTTTGGAGTCATTGTTCTTTTTAAGTTTTTTGGGATCATTAATCTAAAAGTAGTTTATGTATCATCAATAAAATGTCACTGAAAAGTAAAACAGTGCATAAGAACATTTAACTTAATACCATTTCATTTATTGCTCTTTGTTAAATTTTTAATATATTCTATTTTTCCTTTTTCCATATGTTTTTAACATTATAATTGTATCAATATTAAACTTTATATAGTGCAAATGTGTCATTGAGAGACAATGCAATGCATACAAATACAATGTTGTTACTATTTACTTCGATGGGAGTATCAATTCAACGAATGTGCTTGGTAAATATATACAAGTACAAGTGACGTATCCTTATTTCGATTCAAACTGTTTGCATCAAGTCTGATTGAACTCCTTCAAAACTTTCATTCCAGTTTCAATACATACACATATTCTAGACCATGCATATATAATTGTAAACATTTCTCACGTAAAAGGCAATGTAATAACTTCATCCATGCATGCATTGTATCAAAATATACTAATAGTGTGCATTGTTTGTTTAGTAATTTGTTCGCTGAAGTAAGCGAATTTTCAAATGTTACTATCTTTCAGTAACCTCACTATTCACAAAAATGCTTACTACGGTAGTGGAGCTGGAGACATGGTTAAATACAAACTGAAATGTCATGGAAACGAAACGGACATTGTTAACTGTAGACATGACCCTATAAGTAGTTGTACTGGAAATTCTAATATAGGAATTAATTGTTGTAAGTTCTTAATTGTCGGTATAAAACAATACTTTAAACTTTTTCCAACAGTTAAAGATTAAATGTACGCGCCCTTATTTTATTGGTTTCACTATCAAGTAAAAAAATATTTTTCTAGATTATAATAATGGTAATAAACTATCATATCCGATTTATTTATCCTCTTCTGCATCGATAGTTATACTGGTTTTGCTTAAATTTTCCTATCTTGTAAATTTCTGTTATTTTAGCTTATCACTAGGTATGATCATCATTGACATAACTGAATCGTCAGTGACAACAATAAACGGTATTGTGTCAACGCCAACAATGAATTTGATTGCGATCAAAACAAGTGCAAAAGTCTATATTTATATACTCATGACTAATAAGGGACGTTTATTGAAGATAAGTGTGATCTGGTAGATTTGCAATGAAGTTGACACTATAATACTAGATAAAATATTTTTGTCGTTATAATCCAGATAAGAGATCAATGACCTAAAACAGGAATATGTTAGAGAAAAATAAACAAATATATCAGATAACGTAATTCGATAATTCATTTTGATTAGAAACATCGATCATGTGATCACGAGATTCCTATATAGCGCAGCTTGATTACTCTCCAACAAGCCTAAAACGCTTACATAATTTCCTTTACTAGCTGAAAAATCTCTAATCGCTACATTGGTGCAAAAATCCGTAACAGTACAAAAACTAACAGAAACACTTAATTTTCAGATTCATTTACTCCTATTAGGCTTCAAGGGGGGCCAACAACATATTCAGGTAGAGTGGAAGTGTACCTGAAAGAACAGTCGAGTTGGGTTGGTATATGTAACGAAAACTATGGATTTACAATTGACGACGCAAGGGTTCTATGTAGAATGCTTGGAAAACCTAACATGTATTAATATTTTACTTTTATAATATTTATATTTTACTTAATATATATTTCATTACATCAAACACATTTATTTGAAGAGTAAAATTTGTTACTACATGTACATCATGTGTCAGATGAATAAGCAATATCCATTGTTGGCCCATAATTATAAAAAAGTAATTTTTATATATATGTATCATGACGGGCAGGCACTGTTTCTATTCCGTGAAAGAAGAACGGTTTTTTTCTTTCCTAAGAAGTATGAAATTAAAAGAGTCAATTAAATAAATATTATAAAAAGTAACATTTACACAAGCCTTCCGACTGCTTTGATATTTCAATAGATAAAGGTTTTCAAAACTATCATTTGAATGGTATCAAATAACTGTCGAGTGATACTTGTGTTTATATCTAAACACTTGAAAAGTGATTAGCAGAGCCTTGCATATCTGTAGATATTTTGAATAAAATAAAACTGCACTGAATCAGGAAGTAGCAATATCTAAAACTTATCTCTTAATCTTAAATCAACAATACTGCACCAAGGTACGGATAATTTATTAATATTTTTTATACTTGATATCAATTGATAGGCCACCCGGGAGGTAGTATGTTGATAGGTATAAAAAAAGTTTAAAAACTACAATAATATATCAGTTCTTTCAGTAATAGGAATGTAACCTCCTATTTGCAAAGTTCACATAGAGTAGCGACTGTTTACATATATATTAAGTTTCTTTATAGTATCATTCTAATTCCTAACATGACTTGTGATTTTGTCACTAAACACAAAAATACAACCGGTGTAAAAGTGCCAATAAACACTCTTCATAGACTACATGTAAATACAGCTGTTCGGTTTTGATATTTCTTTTCAAAAGAAAAATAAGAAAACAACATCTCGGAGACACCTATGCATCACATTTTGAGTTTTATCTTTATCTACATCAGTAGATATAATAATTCCTTTACAACATAATGTGAGCGTGGGTTTTACTTGAGTCACTTTTTCGCGTCGGTGAACCGGTCGGTTCCGTCCTTATCATGTCCGCTGTATAAACCCTATTAAAGAATTTCTTCAAATTTGGCTCAAATATTGATAACACTATTTCGACAAGGACATGTGCAGAATCGTGCCAACGCTGTGCCAGCTAAAGGTCAAGCTTACCCTTAAAAGTCAAAGTTCAAATATCAGGCAAATCCTTTACTGTTTTATAAAACCTATCCCCTGTGAATACTATTCTAAAAACTATGCGCACATGCTAATCTTAAAATGACAATGTGCAGAATCAATGCTACAGCTGTGCTGTCTAATGGTCAATGTCACCCTTAAATCTCAAATATCAGACAATTTGAGTCCGCTTTATAAATTCTATATTCCTTAGAGTAGTTTCTTCAAACTAGACTAACATATTCATCTAAACAAGGCAATGTACAGAACCTATGCTAAAACTGTAATGGCTAAACGGAGTTACCCTTGAATGTAAAAGGCCAAATATCATACCATTTCGTTTCCACTGTATCAGTCCTTTGAAGGTCAAATATTAGACAATTTCGTGCCCGATTTATAAAAATTATTTATCCCTTGAAGTACTTTCTTCAAACTAGACTAAAATGTTTATCTGAACAAGGCACTGTCAAGAAAAAATGAAACAGATTTGTCCGGTCAAGGTCTTGAGTGCAATTTTAACCTTGAAAGTACAATGTCAAATATCAAACAATTTCGTGTCAACTGTATTAATTTCATACCCCTTGAAGTATTTTCTTTAAATAAGGCTCAAATGTTCTCAACAAGGCAATTTGCAAAACCTATGCTGCCATAGTTAAAACATAAGGTTATGGTCACCCTTGAAAGTCAAATTTCTAAAAGAAAAAAATCGTCCGTTTTATCAATCTTATTCCACTTTAAGGATTTTCTTCAGACCCAGCTCAAGTTTTCACAACAAAAATGACATTGCAAAACTCATGCAACCGCTATGCAGGCTCAATTTCACACTGGAAGGTCAAATATCATACTATTTATTTTTCAAGCGGATATTATCTCCGCTGCCGAATTCGTATTTGCAGTTTGTTTCCGCATCCTACTGTCGCTAATCCATTAAACAAAAGAAATATTAAGAAATTCTTCATTTTAAGCATCATAAATAGCTTATTATATAATAATATTATTATTTTTCAACATTTTCTTATTTAAACTTACGTGTCAGCTTTGATAACAGTGTGTTTGCATCGGTGTTCTCAATAAATCAATCCTCATCCCCAACTCATGTCAGTTTAAAAATGTCGTCATTCTGGTGTCTTTATGAAAAAATTTCATATTTAGGATGACGCAACTATGCTGTTAATGAATATTGCCTAAGACTCTTCTTATATAAATATAAATAAATTATATTAACTAATATTGGTAATGGTTAAATTCGAAAAAAACAAGAATAAAGACCAACAAGGTAAAGGCAACGTTCACAGGACGCAGGCTCCCGACACACCCAAGGAGGGCATGCAATGTGTGAAATAATATAAACCAAAACGAGCCCACATGGGAATATCGATGTTCACTCTATGCAATCGTCTATTATTTAAATTGTTAGGCAAGTCATTCAAAAACTAAAAGAAAAAAAATCTGATTACTGGAATAGATTTTGTCAGTATTATCTTTTCGTCAGAAAGGTGTGAAATAACAACCAAATATGATATTCGTCAGTGGAAATAATCCCCGCTTGAGAAATAGTGTTTATGATCTCCCTTATTTTGTCTGATTAGAATCTTAATAAAATCGGCATTAGCTAACGGTATTGGCTATTTTTCAGTACTACATATATTAAACGTGTTGAATTAAAACAATTTTGTGCGAGCATCTGGTTTAGCGTTATGAACTTTTATAAACGAACAACCTTAAGCACGAAACTCATTAATAAATTCGTTGAATGATATTATCTCACTTCCCGCGGCTATCCATACATATAGGTATAGTAAGACATTTTGAGCAACGGCGCAAACACTAGAAAATCCGGTTTGACATGCCTTCACAATATCTCTCCTGTCGACACTTATTGGTTAGAAATGTATAAGACTTATGCAAAAATGTTTTCAAAGGGATCCTTTATGCTGATTTAATTTATTTTTCATTTTAATTCTGTTTCTTTTATATACAATACAACAGGAATCCAAGTTTCCAAGATGCAACCAATATTTATGACTATGTAATACGGGGTGAAGCAATATCTGAAATGAACTGCAGCGGGTCTGAGCAAGACATAACCGATTGTGTGTCAGATAAACGATGGTTGGAAACATCTTGTAACTATCCAAACTATGTTGGAATCAATTGCGGTAAGAAAGGCGGATTTTATATACTAGATATATATTTTTTCCATCTCAGTGTTGTTTTATTTTTGGTTTTTCTTAATCATTTATTCAATACTTTTAGGTTTGTAGTTTTAAAAGACTGTATGCAAAATAAGCCGGTGGTAGGGGATTCAGAGATGTAGCACCTTTCAATATCACCCATGAACAGACTCAATAAAATCGAATCTACTCTTTTCTTATTTTTAATATTCATTTCATTGATTTCTCCTTTTCAAGATATTTATGTAAACATGTACAAACAATGTGTTTAAATGGTTTTTGGCCAGTTTTACAGTATCAGATTAAGTTTTTGTACTAATACTTGAATTACCTACGTTTTTGTAGAGCCTGAAACGAATGTGCGTTTGGTAGATGGACCATCTGTGAAAGCAGGAAGAGTTGAGATTTTATATAATGGTACATGGGGAGGCGTTTGTGCTGATGGATTTGACATTAAAGATTCGGATGTTGTCTGCAATATGCTTGGATATACACAAAAGTAATCCAGTTTGTTGTATGAGTGTTTAATTAGTTTAAAATAGTTCAATATAAAATCTTAAAGGTATCCTTATGCGATATAAAATCTTTAAGGTATCCTTATGCGACACGAAGAAAATATATCATATAAATAATAAATAATTGTTATTCTTTTTATTATTTTATTTATTAATAATTATATTTATTATTTGTTCTTCTCGATGGGACTTGTTGCTTGGAATTAAAAAAACCCAAATAACTTAAACACATCTTTATATTTAAATAACATTTTAATAGAGTACTTACTTATTTAGATCGTATCTACTTCAAAACGATGAGTTTTTGCAAGGGAATATTTCTACACTGGTCACAAACGTACAATGTAAAGGTCATGAAAGGGATATTTCGGACTGTAGATCAGAACGCTGGACGTCTGGTCATTGTAGAAGTGGAATAAATGTCGGCATAGCATGTAGTAAGTATTTTTTACTCAAAAGGAATTGTCTTTTATATTTGTTATGGTTCCAACATACATACATGGGCACCCTGAGAGTGTAAAATCAATTGAAAACGTATTGTGAATTATTTTACGTACTTAATTATTTCAATTATATATATTAGAAAGCTAATTTAAATTGTTTGATCGTTAATTCGTAACAACATGTTTATAGATACTTTCATTATATCTAGGTAGACTGCATTTTATGAGCTTTTGTGTTAAATATCGGAAATTTTATTTTAATTGTCTTAAACATATACAAAAATAATTTAATCGCCAAAGTATTTTTTTCTGCTTAAGTTTAGTGAAGGGGTGGGGCGTTGACGGTATCTAACGTTTACCACTACTGACCATGAACACGCTCAATCTAACCTTACAATTATGTCGTGTTTTTTTTTTTTTTTTTTTTTTTTTTTTTGGGGGGGTGGGGGCGTTTTGATATTGACAATTGATATGGTATCGGGTCAAATACACCAAATTTACGACAAAATAGAGATAAAAATATCTATAATTGTTGTCATCTTTTTTATTAAGATAGCACAGTCCGTCTCGTGAATGGAACGAGTGAACGCTCGGGTATAGTTGAGATTTATCACAAACAAAAATGGTGGACAATGTGTAGTGATAACATCGATGAGAATGTTGCTGATGTTGTATGTCGAATGGCCGGGTTTAGATATTGGTGTGTTCTTTTCTGTTTTTAAAGCGATATAAATAGTATACCATTCTATTGTGGTTACATATGCAACAGTTAATATAAACGGTTTGTAAAAGTCACCACTGTATATCATGCTCAATTAGATTTCAAAGCCAAATTGTTATCATTCTAAATGTTTATATTGTTCCTCTTTTTTAGTTTGGACAAATTATTACTTTCTGTAGTGTACAATATATAAACTGTTGCATTGCTAACTTAGCATCAATATACTATTCCTGTTTAGTCTAAATTCAATCAAATAAATTCATCAATAAAATATCCATTTCCATTTCAAAGTAAGATTTACTAGAATACCCGTTTCAGTATTATCGACAAATGTTATCATATTTTCAGGAATGCATCTGTTCTTGAAGGGTCCTCGTTTAGAAAAGATGCAAGGGATTTCTTGATCAATCAAATTACATGTAATGGTAGTGAATCTGATTTGGCATCATGTAACACTTCGCCATGGAAAAACACGTCTTGTAGTAGTGATCTTGCTGCAACAGTTGACTGCAAAATTCCTCGTAATTATTTTTTTGTTGTTTAAAAAATATCTTAGGTAAGAGGTTGGGATATGTTTGTCATATAAATAATGACGAATATTGTTAAAAAGGCTGTTAAACGACGATAGAAATATTGATTGTCTATGGAGCAGCTGTGAGTTATTGCAAAGTCAAAAGATTAAATATGTTGTACTGTAATATACATGTTTGTTATTTTTATATATATAAATCAACAATTTTTAAACATGTCTCTTAGTTGAAAAAGTATTGTTTTTGTTTTATTATGTGTGTCCCTGTTCTCAACGTATTTTTATTTGACTGTAAAATTTTTTGTTCACTTTGATATCTCAATTGCGACTAGTTAATAAATATTAGAAATATATAACATTTTAGTTGATACATTTCATTGTTTCAGACACATTAATTCGTTTAGTAGACGGTAAGACCAGGTATTCTGGTCGAGTACAGGTGTTTCATAACAACAAATGGGGAACTATATGTGCGTCACCGTTTTTTAAAGAAAATGTCCAGATATTATGCTTATCTCTTGGATACAATTTTACAAGGTATATAATTCAGCTATGATCATAAGAAAATTTCAGTAACATTTCTTTACTCACACAGGCAAACGCAATTTTGCTGTTCGTGCGATTTGCTTCGAATGACGGAGTGTGAAAAAAATGGAAGAATATTATTAAATATTTCTTCGTGTATTTTAAAATGAATATAGTAAAGTGTTCATATTTATGATCCTGTAACACATTTTTTTTATAGTTTAATATAAAAATACGATGCTCAAATTGAGATTTATCAATATTGTAAGTTCCAAAAAGCATTATTCATAAAGATATAACGGAATTTGATATTTCATGTAAATAAAGGGAGGTAATTAGAAATTTGCTTTCTATAAATTCTAAGTCAAATTTTCCAATAAGAAATGAATGCATATAATTTAATGATAAAATTTAATATGTACAAATATTTGCAGTACATATTTTACATATTATTCGGTGTTTGAAAATTGTTGAACTAGCAAAATTATATATAAGTGTGTATACAGGCTCAATTAAAAAACAAACAGGATCTTTAACATAGATTGAGGTTGATAAAAGAATAAGGGATACTGCTTTGATATAAATTGTATATTTAATATATTTCATCAAGATAATTTATAACTCTACGTAAGTATTTGTCTTTTATGCATGTTTCATTCCTTTTGAATAAATTTAAACCTTTTTTCTACATTACCTATTTTAATTACTATGAGGGCCTGATAATTTTGGATGTTTTTGCTTAAATATGCTTGAATAAACACATTTACATACATTTATTCCTTAGGTGGTTCATTAAACATACCAAATTAATGTTTAATCATATAGTGTGATCTTGTTGTAATAAATAAAATTTCAACAATAACTTTATGTAATTATTTTACAGTGACATAACTCATTCGTACTACAGTTCATATGATAACGTCATGATTTCGAACATGAAATGCAGTGGAAACGAAACAGATATCTCCGTTTGCCCGTCAGACTATTGGGACACGGGCAATGGAAACTGTGCAAGTTCCTACCAATCTGTTGGCATCAACTGCTGTAAGTAAGACACTGTTCAGTCAAAGTCAGAAACCGCTCTTTTTTATAATACCTTTTGCTGCTTATTTAATATGAAGTCGTATGTCAGAGGATAACAATCCGTACGGTCACATAGTTATTTCACGTTCAGCCGGCTGACATTTCGTTATCCGTTATGTCACATAGTCATTTCACGTTTTGTGTGTGAAATTTCAATAAACATATATTCAAATGAGAGTCTTCATCAAAAAGCAAGGTTATCATGATTAAATATATCAAATGAATATTTAAGTCGGAAAATGTCATAATATAAGTGTTTATAAGGAACTAAGTCCATACTTCAATGGTTGTCAAAAAGCGTTTTACCGTTTGCAAAGATTTTTCTACTTATTCAGTTATTTTGGCCAAATATTCAATTAAAATACATTAAAATGAGATTCGTCATCAAGAAGCATCGTTATTATTGCAGAAAACATGAATGTTTTCTGGGCAAAGTGTCATAATATCCGATGTTACAAGAATTTCGCTATATTCTAAAGTGTGCTATTTTTGGTAACATATCGATAAGGAAAAGTCGGATCTGGATATAGTAGGACTCATTTAAGTGTCAAAGTTCATCAATTTATTTCGATTCCGTGAACAATTGAATAGATTAGCTGTTATATATTTGATGTGGACCTCGTGACGTTTCATTTTTGTCAAAATTGGATAGTATATCGCGTTTGTGTAGGAACACGTAAAGAAGTGTTGCACGTGGAGTGTGAGATAAGCCCATGTGAGATAAAAATTTTAAACACCGCTATTTTAGTTACATTTTTCTATTCGGTTAGTGAGAAAGTCATTTCACGTTTCCGTACGTTCACATTTCCCAAGGTTTCAATCTCACTGGGATGTGATATATATAATATTAAACTCTGGAAAAGGGATGATCCTTCGGAACATGTCAAGAAGACATTATTAATACAGAAGAGGAATATATTTTTAAATTATCACTTGTGACTCCTGATTCGGAAATTAAATCATAATATTTTAATTTGGAATGTATGAAGCTTAACTGTTGATGATTTTTAATTTGACAGTAACAACAGTTAGACTTCAAGGTGGCCGCACTAAAGCTATGGGCCGTGTAGAAGTACAACACAAAGGATCCTTCGGCACGATATGCAAAGATAATTTTGCTAAAAATAACATACCTGTGATATGTTCCATGTTGGGTTATAACTACACAAAGTAAGAAGTTTTTTCAAACCTTAAACACAACCATCATTTCGAAAAGTTCACGTTTTATTAAAAAACTATTTATTAAGATTAAGATTAAGATTTGTTTGAAGGTTCAACAAATTTTAATGAATATCTCTGTATGTGTTCATAATAAGTTGTTTTTCAAGCTTTGTAAAAAAACCAGTTTTGTTTCTTCTGTTATGTAAATGTGTCATGAAAGTGACAAAAATCAATCTGATATTCAATATACTAATCTAATGATACATGTTCAACTTTAAACAGAAAATACTCTCCAGTTAGCAACGAATTTCACAATGGAAGTTTACCAAAAAATCTTATTCAAAATCTACAATGTAACGGCGACGAAAAGGACTTGCAACAATGCAACTCGTCCCCATGGGAGTTTGGAACAAACTGTTCCAACATTAACACAGCTTCTATCAGTTGTAGTAAGTTTGTTATATAATCATTTTTATCTTCTAAAATGGTAGAAAAATATAAATTTATATAATTGACATACAGTAGTATGTGAGAAAACCTACTAAAAATGCAATATCAGAAAATTGTAGACACGTATATCAAAAACAGCCAGCGGAATACGTCCGACATCGTTTTGTTGTTTATAACTGTCATTTTTTCGTTAAGATACTCCTATTCGACTTGTTGGTGGAAATAACTGGCGATCAGGACGCATGGAATTGCTGTTTCAAGAGAAATGGATTGACGTCTGTCACGTTGACAATTCATCATCTTTGAAGATAAGTAAAGTCATATGCAGGATGATGGGATTAAGTACAAGGTATTACGTGATATAAAAATCATTTTCAAGAGATGCAATGAAAATGATAATTTTCCTTAATTTATGTGAAGGCCTTTAATATATTATAAGAACTGTCTGCAAATGCTGTTCATACGTACATAATAAGAGAAAATGGTAGGAACGGTTGATTTTATACATTTGACTAAACAGGCAAACGCATGTAACGTTATTGCTGAATTCACGCGAGGAAACACGTTCTATTCATTTAAACAATAATCTGATAAGGGAAGATTTATTTTATCAACTTATCAGTATGCATTTTATTTTAAGCTTATACGAGATATTCGATTACAAAATGTTCTAGTTATAATTAACTGTTTATTTTTTTTTAATATTTCATTACTACTTTCATATTTGCAAACTTTTTATCAATTCGTATCACACTTTCAATTTTTTTTAAAGAACAATGAAGGTATTCAACATTAATGGCAATTCCTCGTCAAGTGGTAACATAAGTTGCACGGGAAACGAAAAAGACATATCTATGTGTAGTATACAACCCGAGCAATGTTCAGCATCAAGTCGTTTGGGGATATCATGTGGTAAAACTTATACAAATACTATGTTAATGTAGAAAGTGGATATTTCACACATTTAAAATATTTCACACCTTAACTTACAGCTTTTGGACCACGTGATGTTTAATAGAAATCGGTATCGGATCCAATCATAAAGCCTCGTTTCGTTTCAATTTAAGAGTCCAAACTATCTTTATCAAACGCATATCGTACCCTTTTTAGACTTGTTCTAATTTTCAAAGTCCAAAATGCGTCTGATATATATATATATCAAATGACTATCATACTCAATTTAGCCTAATTTCATTTTTTAAAGGGTCAAAAAATCATATCAATTCCTTATTATACTTGAAGGAACACAATTCTGTCAAATTCTCATATGTGAAACAACCGGGGTTTTATGCACGCGTAAATTGGATTGGAATAGTCAGCTGTGTTAAATATTACCTTTACGCCCATTATAGCTGAAGCGTGTGCATAACGGACATTCCATTATATCAATAATATAACTCGTTTTTATATTGTACATTGTAACAGAAGAGTATGCTAAAGTAAATAGTTGTACCAGGAATTTGACACATTTCTTCTAACAAACTTGTTTGCTAGTTTCTAGATAAAAACAATTGATATATTGAAAAAAATAGATATTCTATGACAAATTAATGCAACAACTTTCACACCGATGCGTTTTGTCCAATACAAAACAGTCCCCCTTTAGGTAGTGCATAATTTAATTTTAGGCTGGTTCAACGATATTACTTCTCAGTAAACTACCCTCATTACATGACAGCAGATAGTTGTACAGTTCATTATTTGTATACGAAGATAAGAAAACATTGCATATACATTTGAAGAAAATGTAACTAAAATTGTTTTTAAACAAAGCAGAAAAAATAAAATGGGTCCCGAATTGTAAAGCTGATGTAGGTGAAAGTTTTTATGTGTTTTTATTGACAACTCGCAAAATAAATCGACGTGTAATTCCACAGTAAATCATGCGGCGGTCTTTTTCAAAGACGTATACGACTGGGTGCGAAGCACGAAGTTTTCATACATTGTTGAGAACAATACATTGATTCAACTGGACTCGTACACAGCTGCAAACCTACTGTATTCCTAGAAAAGATTTCGCGCGTTTTAAGTAAGCGCTTTCCGCGGTAGGCATGATTACGCTATTTATAGCCGCGAATATGTCACTGATAACAAATTCGCGAACATTTCTAGCTTCAACCAAATAAAAACATAAACGTTCAGATATTTATTATAATCTACTTACACAATAACATAGAAACACAAGTGCTAAAGAAATGTGTAAACAATTATGCAAAGTTCATCTCCTTACTAAACCACCTCATTTTTAAGCTTGCAATCCATATATTTTCATTTCAATATACCTATCATGCACGTAACATGTTTGTTTTAATTACTACTTTTCATCATGCTTATTCACGTTATTTGCTTGTCACGGCGTAAACAAAAACATTTACAGTTTGCGTATATTGAATAACTTGGATTTTATTTGCTTGGAGTAGGTGTAATCCTTTGTTTAAAGTACAATAGCGATCTAGTGCTACATTGATAAACAGCTGTTATGTTGTTATAATGAAAGCGATGTACAGTCCAATATTGTTAAAGTAGCACAACATAACCGTTAGTCTGGACCGAAAAAAACACAACAACAACAACAACAAAATAATAAAAAAACAACAAAAAAGGGGATGTTTTACTGCTACCTTTAAGTAATACACTTAATATATAGATTTTAAGGTCAATCCTGAATTGCTCGAATTGCTGAATTATTAATGTGACATTCATAAATGGAAAATAAGCTATACTGCATACGTATATACAGGGGTGAAGACCGGGAATATTTTTATATTAATATTATATGTTTTGGACATCAAATACATGTAGGTTTATACCGTAGCCTAATAAAGCTTTAATTTATGCCGTAGCGACTAAATATTCGCGAGATTATCTGTTACTACAAATCCGCGAAAGTTTATCTCCGCGAAAATGCCGACGATGTGAAAAACGCGAAATATTGTATCCGCGAACATTTCTAGGAATACAGTATATCAGACTCATCTAATGCTTCTTTCAAAATATGTTTGACACATTTGTTCTCGTCTGATAGATTTCAATATTGTACACAACAATGTATAATAACCTAATACTATCATACTTATATTCTCATTAAAAGAAATCTTGAATTTAAATTATTTTGTCCCTGTCAGAAGATAGCAAAATAGCTACAAAATTAAAGTTATATCATCCAATATACTCATGATTTTATATCATCCAATACTCATGATTTTATATCATCCAATACTCATGATTTAGTCAGAATTGGGTAGTTAGTGAGGTACATAGAAGTTCTGTCTGGTTTGATTCTTGATTTTGTTTGCAGCCTTTAACTTTCGGTGGCTTGGGTCTCGCTATAAAGGTCTTACCTACTAATAGCTTGAGTTAACATTTCTCCAACCATTTATTTGCATATAATATCAATGAAACTTATTAGCTTAAATTACTTATATTATAACATAACATTTTATGGTTAACGTATGTAATCTCTTTATAGAAACTCAAATAGAATTGATAAAAGGCAGAACAGATTACATGGGGAGCGTTTCATTTGATTTAGACGGACGACCAGAAGTTATTTATGAAATAAGTAACAACTTGTCAGCAGATGTTGTTTGCAAAATTTTAGGATATAATTTTACAAGGTTTATACAATTTTCAATTTAAATTAATCTTTTTTCTAAGTACTTCAAATTTCTTACTAAATACAATAGTGATATGGACACTGAATGTCTCAAAAGTTATTAAAAAACTAACAAATATGTGGCTTCTACATGTTCTAGAAGATCATTTACGAAACAAAAGTTTAACCATATGATATACATGTAACCATACATAAAGCATACTGGCAATATGAATGATGTTAGAATTAAAATTTTCATATTATAATTCATATTATAACTGAATGTCTGTGCGCGATTATGAGTATACTTGGTTTTAGTCAATTAATATAATTTATTTTGCAAAACTTAGATATAGCCGAGTTCAGACAAACAAGGAGCTTAGGACTTCAAGCGCATGCGTCTACGGTACGCTTATGACTTTGAGTTGTAACGGAAATGAAACAGATATATATGATTGCAAAGACAGTGTGTGGAATTCTGAAAGTTCTTCTTGCTATGATTTATATTCTGTTGTAAATTGTCGTAAGTCCATTTTCTTTCTTTCAAATAATTTATTTTGCTATGTTTTATTTGTAACAAACTCGACAAATCATTTAATATTTTGTCGTATATAACGCACGTTTTGCAAAATCGGTCTGTTGTTTTATGATTTCGATTCATGTGAACGTGATGTCTTAAGTTAAATATATAAGACTGCTTTTTGTTTATCAATTTATTTTTATTTTCTTATATAAAGAAAGTTTGCTGTATTGAAACCTCGTCAAAAACATTCTTCACATGTTTGTTTGTCGTATATAAACGACGGTTTGCAATTAACCCCGCTAGAATCAACGGTCTGTATAGGGCAATGCAACCTGCCAAATACCTTTTTAAATAAAATATGTCAGGTAACATTAAGTCTCAATTTTTTTAAAACCATATTTGGGAAAAGTACAAGGGCTTATAAAATATGACAAATGGTTACATTGGTAAGTCTCTATTTTTTTTTTTTAAATAAGGGCAGAGTAATACATCTTTAAATACAGTTGTACGAAAGACCGATGTGAACATGTCACTTTTATGATTTCCTGATTTCATGTTGAAATCGTGACTTCATAAAGTTGAATTATGAAGTCAAGATCATTAATTCATGAAGTTGAAATCCTGAACTCGTGGATGAAATTTTGAATTATTTTAATTCGTGAAGTTGATATCGTGAGGTCGTGAAATTGATTTTGTGTATTAATGAAATTGAAATCGTCAATTCGTGAATGTTGAAAACGGGAATTCAAGAAGTAAAAATTGTGAATTCATGAAGATGAAATCTGGAATTCATGAAGTTGAAATGGACCTACCGGTCTTTTGTCATTGTCAAAAAGTTAAATTCTACATGCGTATGCGTAAATTATCTGTCATAATCTGGTCGGAATTCACCAAGAAAAGAAAACATGTAACTTTGATGGAAAACGACAACCAACCCAGCTATCGTCTCTAACCGTACCGTTTCTTAATTATTACATTTGGACTTTCTGTTGTTTAGAAACTTTTCATCTCTTTGAAAGTAACTAGCTTATATCTGTAGATCTAACATAATGTATTAATTATGTAATGAGATCTTTTGTTGTACAGAGACACCTGTTCGGCTCACAAACGGAATAGATTATCAATATGGGCAGCTTGAGATAATGGAAAATGACTCTTGGGTTCCAGTTTGTAGTCAAGGATTTGATCTAGAAAATGCACACGTTGTGTGCCGAATGCTTGGTCATAAACATGTTGAGTAAGTTTTGATCGCAGTCTATACCAAACGCAATCTAAAGGGACATTCAAAACATTATGAAAGAGATAGATTTAGCACTACTTGAAAGCAATATAAATCAAAAGCATCATCGGCCAATAACATTTTGTATAACTTCGGCCTATATAGTCACTTGTCAAAGGACTGTGTTTCTAACAAATATTTAAATACGTATCTTAGGATTTTTCCCCCTTTTATTGTTTTTCTTTTGTTTAATTTGAATATAAACTTTATTATTGATTGAAATTATAAGACAATCGACTGTACCTGTATTTATTTTTTTATTTTTTTCAAAGATGTAACCTTATTTTCAGTGCATAAAAGCATAACATTTTTCTATTTTTAAAACAGAAACACGACTACAATTGGTGAAGCACTTAGCCAAGGGCCTTTTGTAAGTGGTAATATTCAATGCAACGGAAGTGAGGTAGACATTTCAGAATGTAAAAATCAATGGATAAAGACAAATTGTTCAAACAGCGGTGTTGTCGTCGTTGATTGCAGTAAGTAATTTTAAAATAGATAAATACAGAATCCCTAAAGAAAGCCCAACACGGCAAGATTGAAAATGTTGCAGGCTCAGTTTGATTGAGCCTGTTCATGGACGGTACTGGAAAGTGCAAGTTACCGTCCACGCCCCCTAGCACCGGCTTAAGCAGAATTCAACATTTAAACATGAAATAGTAAAATTTTGAATTTAGAAACATCCGCAGATGTGTTCATACGGCGGTTATCATGGAACCTTCAATGTGACACTTCCGTGCCATTCCATGAAAAGCGGCGTATGGTCCCCAAGTAATAAAAAGCTTGTGCCCCAAACGAGAAAACAATTAAAACACACACTCCTGTTTTTCATTATAAATTGATATATAGCGACAAAGTTTTAAGTCAGATATCTTTCTTGTGGTTTTACTTGTAACAGTATGATGTATAACAAAGTGAGTATCCATAGAATGTATTTATATGTTAAGTATGGAAATGCAAAAGGACATGTATTGCAATTATTTTAGAACAGTCCTCATATCGGAACATAAATGTTGCTTCAAATAAAACGTTTAATTCGAGATTAAACTCAACGTTATATTTTTCGTCGCTCATTCTTATTTTAAGACGCTGTTTTGACTTATTATAATATTATGTAAACTATACCGTAAGTGAGATTTATAAACTAAGGGAGATTTAATTGTAAACAACTGAAGTAGCCAAATGAAGTACAATAAAATATTAAACTCAAATACAAATCGGTTTATTTTGAAATGTCTTTGCAGGATCAAAAGTAAGATTAGAGAATGGCCCAACAAAATTTAAAGGACGAGTTGAAGTACTTTATAAAGGGAAATGGGGAAGCATATGCGACTCAGGGTTTAGTCAAACAGTGAAGGTCATATGCAAAATATTAGGCTTCAATTATGCGTAAGTGAAATTGGATAAGAACGGGGAAATGAAAGTCCCTGGCTATTATATATAACTTATGTTTACCACATTTAACCTATCCTTTCAAAATTCAATTATTTATACATGCCTAATTTGATACTCAAATATACAATCAAAGACGCGCAACAGACAAAAAGAACATCCTTTTTCTGTTTTTTGTATTAATTGTTGTTGTATTGGTGGTTCACATTAGCATTCGTTGGTTAAATAAAACATCTGTACGATTCACAATGTTCTTCTCTTCTATGCTTAGGATTTTAACGCTGTGCACTTATTCACTCTATTCATTGTGTTCCATTTCTTATTGAAACATTTCATTTTCCATTTTTTTTTTATTTTCGATCACGTCCTTAAAATAAATAAAAGTCACACAATAATCATTGCTAAATGTTTCATCATTATCACTATATAAAAGTCTTAACTAAAACATATGTTCCGTTCGTGTTCTATAATCGTTGTTCAAAACAAACTTTGAATAAACTAGTAATCTTTTATTTTCAATAAGTGGTGCTATCGTTCATTCCGGACGGGCATTTAGCAATGATTCAACTCAACGTGAGTACACTATTCAAAATCTAAATTGTGTTGGAACAGAGGATGATATAACGGAATGTCCTGCTAGTGAATGGAAGAATGGATTGAACTGTTATAATAACATGCCTTTAGAAATCGAATGTAGTGAGTGATTGTTGCTGTTGTTACTTTTATTTTGTATTAACACATACGTTATTAAACTTATGACTTAATTGTTTTCTTTTTTCGTTTGAATATTTGCATATAGCAATCAAGCAAGGAGCAAGGCAAGCAAACAAATATTTTTATTGTTTACACTTACAAGACCTTCTCTCACTTTTTTTTTAAATTTACACGAGTGATAAGAAACCAATGACTATAATCAGTATTACTGATACATGGTTAAATCAAAACATCCATAAATTCTGCTTACATTCAGTCTTTTCTTTTCAAGACACACCGGTGTCTCTACAATCCGGTTCAAACGAGAACATTGGGTATGTGTATGTCAACTATCAACAAACTTCCCGAAGTATATGTGGAGATAACTTTACACAAAATGAAGCAGACGTTATTTGTAGGAAAATTGGATCTGAAACATATCAGTGAGTTGGCTATTATTAAATTCTATTCTGTACCCTTTTAGTTTTGAAAAAAAAACGAAAGTAGGAATTTAAAACACAAGGTATGTGCAGAGTGTTTTAAATGTTCTGTCCGAAAAAAAAAATTTTCATTCGTTTGTTGTTTTTGTTTGCCTGTAGATAATTCATTTCTATGTCTGAGGATATATTAAGTTTAAGCAATGTTATTTTGAACAAAAGCTATTCATCAGAGAAATTTTTATCACATTCATTCATTTAAGGAATGCCACCATTTATTATGGAAATAAGTTTGGTTATACCTACTCGCACTATCCTATAAATGAACTGAAATGTGTCGGACACGAGGATGATTTGCAGGAATGCAATTCTCTTCCTTGGAATGAAACTACACGGTCGAATTGCAATAATTCAAACACAGTTGTCGGTGTGAACTGTCGTACGTAGTTTTATTTCACATGTAAATTTGTCACTAATTTATTTCAATAGATTAAATGATTTACCGACGTGGTTTGAAACTACCTTGATGAAGATCTCTTTCATTTGTTTCCATACCTACAGTAGCTGTTAAAATACACAAATAAGTACAAGTCATACCAGTCTCATTTTGATATGTGTAATATTAATAAATCTTACCTCCATGGGTATTGAAATTTATCGTTTAAGAATATAGTTACCTCGTATATTGTATAGTAGACAATTTTGATCAAGAAAATTTTATCGTTTGCTTTAATTAAATATACCACGTATGTGGATATGATTTTGCGCTTATATTGCACATATTTATCTGTTTTTATTAAATGTGTTTTTTTATTTCAGGCCCAAAGACACCTATTCGGTTAACTGGTTCACATGATTCTGGTATAGTTGAGATAAATTATCAAAACATTTGGGGACCAATTGGTTACAATAATTTTGATATAAAGGATGCTAGCGTTCTTTGCAATATGTTAGGTTTTAAAATTGGGTAAGCTATTGAATGATTTTTACTTTCATTAGTATTCTAAATGATAGACAGAAGAACGAATTGTAAGTCTCTGTGTTTATCATTGAAATTAGCCTAAAAGAAAAGAAACGGTAAATTAATAATTGTTGCATACTTTTTGTAATCTGTGACACTTTTCTTTCTCAGAATATATTCTAGTTTACATATATATGTTGCAAAATGTACAACACAAATGCAAATAACCTGTATTGTGCCACCATTTTAACTTTAGAATTAAAATATAATATATTATATCATTGTTTTAGACTTGGAAAATTCCACACACGTTTGGCGTCAAAATAAAATTCTCATCTTCTCAGACGTATGATGTTTGTGTATGTTTTCAATTAACCAGAGCACAACGTGCTCAATTTGATCTAAATTGCGTACCCCTGTGTCCGGTGTCCGGCCTTGACATTTTTACTAGATTTCCTTTGGAAATTTGCTCATGTGGTATCGGCTTGTTAAACAGAATAGTCGCTAGAGATGAAAAAAAAAACACTTTTAAACGACATCTCCATAAAAACTTAGTAGATTCGGATAAGAACTTAAAAATAAGAATTATTATGAGATAGCCCGTAACGAAATTGCTTAAATAATTCCAATTTGATTAACAAGATTGACACAAGTTCTAAAATTGAAATAAGCTTTAAATGAAACTTTATTTCACAAAACTGTACAGTACAGGTTTGATAAAACTGTACAGAAATTATTATCACGTGGCCTTTTACAGAAATTGCGCAAATTGTTGCTGTTTCATGTATAAGATAGCTTCCAGAGCTTAAAAATGAAATAAGCTTTAAATGACATCAAAATAGAAAATACTTTCATGCTTTCTGAAATAGATAATGCTTAATTATAAAAGATAGCATATACGAAAAATCACCGTTAGTGTACTTCAAAGATTAAAATGATAATAGATCTTTGAAAGTATCCTAACTTTTATCAAGTAAGAATAGTTATAATTTTGAATCATTTGCAAGAAATGACTAGTATTCATAAGACATTTTTTGTTATTGGCATTTGTTATTGGCATGTTTAAAGTTAAGAATGAGCTGACATTCTCGAAAAATGTCGTGTTGTGAAGGCGGTTGATTCGTTTTCCTTTAATTTTGAAGGGCCTGGGCCTTTCTGATTGTGAAATACTCGCACAAATTTTCTTGAAATAAAATACCTATATGCATTTAATTCAAATATCTAAAGTTATCCTGGCATTCCAATTGATACAACTGACGATGCAACAATTTATAACTTGCAATGCGATGGTACAGAGTCTGATGTGTCCGAGTGTACATCGTCAACATGGTACAGCAAGGGTTACGGTTGTCCTGAAACAGTGCAAGGAGAAAATTTTAAAGCTACAGTTATATGTTCAAGTACGTATTCCAGATTATATGAAAATGATATTTTGATCATTCAATCTAAAGTACAAAGTATTTAATGAATTTCAAATAAAGTTAGAAGGAACTGCGTGATAAGTAAAGATAATAATGTAAAGAAACAATGATAATAGAGTGTAAGAATCAAATAATACGAAGTGAGTCCTGCTCTTACATTTTCTGTGTATGAAGTAATCAATTATATAGCAAGCCACCAGTTTAACACAGGGCATATGATTATATAAAGCATGTAATGTCATTTATACGATCGGCTGCGCTCAATTTTTATTTTCTATAATGCTATTATTTTAGAATGAGATTTATTATCAAATATAATAAAGTACTTAAGTATTTGGTTTCAATTTAAAGTGAGTCTATACGAAAACACTTTGAAAAACTAATATTCATTACTAAAAATGAACTGCGTTTGATAATTATATTATATATATTTTTAACAGTTCTTTCTAAATATGCAGTTTAGGGTGAAACTTGTACATGTATAAGCATCAGCTTTCGGTTCCGATCATTCATGAGTTCCATGTGTAGAACAGTGTATACTTGTTTTAAATAAACTTTTAATTAATTTTGACTGTTAATGTCATATTTGATGGATCACTCAAACAAAATTTATCTATTCATACTTCAAGATAATATTCCTAACTGATCAAACTCAACTGAACAAATTCTATCATTTCTACACATTAAAGTGTATAAAGCTACATGTATGCTGCAAAACTTACTGTTTGAATTTTACAAAACAAATACTTTCAAAATGATTGTATGAAATAAATACGGTTACCGTAGTAAATTGCCCTAAGACTAGAATGAAACATGCACGAAATCATTGATAAATGGATAATAGCCAACTTAAGATAGCAGAATAATATTTTGTTTGTTAAACATTTAATTTTGTTTACGTGCAATATTCATGTTTGAAATACAGGAACACTATGCTACGAATCGACCATAAGATTACGGAACCAATATCATTTTACTGCCTTTAAATATTATAAAGAATATTTCATAAAATAAAACTTTATACCCTTTAAAGATGTTGACTTATAAACGATTTGTTTAATATTTGCAATACATGTTACTTAATTAGATGATCGAGTGCGTCTATCAGATGGTGTAAATGATTATCAAGGACGAGTCGAGTTTCAATCTATTGGTATTTGGGGAACAGTTTGTGATAACAAATTTAATCGCCTTGACGCGGAAACTGTTTGTCGACAAATAGGATTTCCATCGGAAAAGTAAGTAAATTGGGAGATATCGAATGTTTGGTTCTTTTGTCTTTTTTAAAAATGCATTCAAAGGCATTCATTCATTAAGAACAATTGGTTACAGTGACCCTAGCGTAGGTGATGACACACTGAGTAATTGAATTTACGCCAGAAAGTACAATTTAAATAAAAGATTTGGTAGTTTCTTAACCACAATTAAAAATATGGTAGGATAAGTGCGTGTTGATGAATTAATATAGATAAGTATACAGTCAACCAAAAATATGCGCGATTTGTAAATTTGCAGAAAGAAATTACGCATATATCATCTACTTTGACTAAACATTCAATGCTTTTAAAGCATATTAAAATGCCATCTTTTAGTAAAAGCGAGTATTAAGTATAAATTGATTTTATGTTACCGAAAATATATCTAGAAATATTTCTTGAAAATATGTCCGAAATATTTGCGTACAATGAATCACCTTTTTCTTTCTAGGACTGCAACATTATACAACTCTTCACGGTTTGGAAGCTTAAACAGCAACTTAGTGGTTGATGAAATGAAGTGCAATGGTACGGAAAATGATTTAGACGAGTGTGGTTCGTATCCTTGGGCTGCAAACAGTTACAGATGCCCTAGCGGCCACATGGATGCGGGAGTTAATTGCCGTTCGTATCTTTAAATTATAAAATAATAGTTTAATTCGTTTCATTTTACATGTCAATTAAGTAAAAAATTTTCATCAGTTAAATGTATATAGTTTTAAAGGTACATCACTGAGGTTTAAAAGCCTAAAACATCACATTAAAATTTCTTACACATATGATCTGAGGAACTTTAAACAGAAATATATGCAAAGATAGTGAAGAAATATTCTTTGAAATAAATTGAAAATCGTATTTTTATGCTTTTCTTAACCCGATTTGAGTAAAAAGCGTTTAAACGCATTTCATTTTGGGTTTTTTTTTTACAATTTGCAAAATTATTTTGGAAAAACGAAGTGCGCGAATAATCCGAAATTTTGCACAAAGATTAGTGGTCTAACCCTACATCAAAAGGTAAACTTATCTGGAAAAAAATATTTTTAGTCAAAAAACCTCAGTGGAGTTCCTTTAAGCAAAATGCTACACATGATAAGCCATTTGTTATTAGTTTCAAGTTGATGCAACTTCTTGTGTTAACATGTTGATAGCATTTTTTTGGTTAAATTGTGTTTACTTTATTTACATATCCAACTAACTATTTTACCTGATACATCTACAAAATAAACAAAAGAAATTGTATTGTTTGATTCAAGGACCAGTCACACCTCTCAAACTAGTAAACGCAACCAACAAATATTCTGGGCGTGTTGAAATCGAATATAAAGGATCATATGGAACAATATGTGACAGAGGATTCGATGAAAATGATGCAAAAGTGATTTGTAGAATGAAAGGTTTCAACCCATTGTAAGAAATATATATTTTTACCATTCTATATGCAATCTTTTAAATGATAAATACTTGAATGTCTATTAAATCAGTTTAGACTACATTAATTAAAGCCTGTTTTTCAATCTTGACTATATATTCGTCTTAATAAGAAGAAATGGTCTTCAATTTTCCAGAAGTACCATCGCTAGAAAACACGCATTTTATGGTGTGGGGTCTGGGAGAATAATAGTATCGGATTTGCAGTGTAACGGTGACGAGAATGATATATCTGAGTGTAAAACAGAATACAATTACCGATGGGATAATCCGTATCCGTACTGCACTCATGCACATGACGTATCAGTCCAATGTAGTAAGTATTACTTTTAACATAAACTGATGATTGTTCGATAGATCCGAAAACGGTAGAAAATAAGTAACCTAAACAAGCTCTGATTTTGTCGTGTTGTACTTCTCTATATTTAACATAAAATTATATGAAAGATAAGTGTATCTTGATTTTTCTGAATATAATGTTTAGTCACACCACTTAACCCATTACTTCATAAGCATTTTGTAAAAAATGGCTATTTCTATTTAAAAGTCTTCCGTTACAAGTTCAAATTGCTCTAAAACTATAAAAACTGCTTCAATACTTGGCACAAATGTTAACTGGACCATTGCCTTTGAAACGACATGCTCAGTCTAAAAGTTCATGTTACCATGGCAACGAGGGGACATCCCAAAATTGCCAAAAATCACTATTTTGCGTTGATGTTTTCCATCAAAATTGATTACAAAGTACAGCTACTTCTCAATGGATTGACATAGAGTCAAAGGCTTTACAGCGTTGGTTAGATATTACCTCATAATCAACCTGGGGTCATTTTTAGCCTCTCACAAGTCCAAAATTTTCTTGGCGATGAGGGGGACTACCGCCCCCTTCAAACCCCCAAACAGAAGGGGGCACACCCCCCTTCTGGCAGCCTCCTGATGTATCTTTTGGATGGGGGCGGCGCCAAAAAAGTCTTTTTTAAGCAACATTTCTCAAACAAAAAAAGTGTTGGGGGCCTAAATAAGGCATTTTTCACCATTTCAGACAACCAACAGAGGGGGGGGGAGGGGATGAAAAAGACGTTAAAAGGCGTGTATATTGGGTAATTGGTTAAAACACACCCAATGTGGTACTTATCAGAAACCAGACTACTATTGATCGAGCATAGCAGTTTATCACTTTAAATGATTACTTAAGTTGAATGAAACTATAAATGTAATATATAAGCGCTAGTCTATCGTGACCTTTAAGTTTGCATATACAGTTAAACTGATAACATGCGCTTTTTAATCAATGTTACATAAGTTGACAATCTAAGCAGAAATAAACCAGTTATGTTTCATACTTATAATGTACATTTACGATATAAAAAATTTTAAGTGAAAATTGGTTAAAGAGATTTATAATAATTTCAAATTTGAAAACGATTAATTGGCTATTTATACAATTATATTTTTATTCATATTATAGATACGCCGGTTCGTCTTCGTGGTGGATGGACATTATACGACGGAATAGTTGAAATTTATATAAATGGTTCTTGGACATCTGTCTGCCATGGTGACTTTACACAGGTAGATGCACAAACAGTTTGCCAACTAGCTGGGCTTAACAAAAATGGTATAAGGTAATAAAATTAAAAAAAAAAAATTTAGATGTTTTCAGGCTAATTCTTTGTTCTGGTTTGACATGACCATACCTGGCAATGAGACATATTCTTTTATTTCTTTAATACATTAAAAAGTTTAGACCTGTCATTTGACATGTTTTGTGTTATTGGTATGTTTTGTACAAATAAAGGATTTAAATATACAAAAATGTCTCGAAAGTATGATTTAAACCTAAACTCTATAAAAACTTACCACCCCTCAAACAATTTCTTAAAAAGCTTGATATATTTTACTGTTTTGATCGTTCGGGTATGACAAAGAAAAGACAATATGACAAGTATGACAAGGTAAACTTGGACAGATAAACAAATGATAGATGCAATATAGTTGCGTTTTTTGAATCAAACAAATATTTTAAATATTTTTTACACATTCTCATTCTAGATTTAGAATAATGATGAAAATGATATCAACCTCGTACTCTTTAAAAATCTTCAACCTTTCAAATTCGTGAAAAAGAAAAGTTTGGATATCTCGTCCTAATTTCAATTTATGGTATTCTGATTATGCAACTATTGGAATAAAGAAATTCTTATAATATCGTGTATTACCGAAATATCACAGTTAAGTTCTTGTACATTTCCAGGCCCCATAATGTCACAATATTTAAAGGTCAATATTTTGGAATGAAAGGGACACCAACACTTGGACGTCTTGGTTGCACCGGTAACGAGGACGATCTGTACAACTGTGGGACCTCAAAATGGACAACGGAACGGTATTCGTGTAATCCACGGGATATTGCTGCAGTAAATTGTCGTAAGTCTCTTTCCTCTTTACTTATCCTGATACTAAGAACTTCTTGAACATTTAAAATCTTATTGTTTAAGGCGTTCTTTAGGGATTCTGATTTTCTTTATTTTACGAATACAAAAGGTACAAACATTGATAATTGGTAAGTATGCCATTTTTCAGATAAAAAAAATGATTAATCCATAAAGCTATCTCTGATTTAATATTAAATTATTTATTTTAAAACTTGTGTGTATTTCTTATCTGCATAAAGAACCCGTAACAAAAATCAGGCTGATGGATGGTGAAAATGAAGTTAAGAGACCTACTAAAGAGACAGACAATATGAAAGGAAGAGTAGAGGTGTTTTATAATAATGAATGGGGAACAGTCTGCGATGATCAGTTTGATGATAGCGATGCTCAAGTTCTCTGTAATATGCTGGGCTTTCCATTTGGGTATTGATTTATCTTTTATATTTCTATTCAACAAAACATAATGTAAATTTCTTAAATAAGAACAATTAAAAATGTTAGCCTTATTCTTAGAGATTATGTTGACTTGATATAATATATGTGCTCTTTTTTATTATTTTAGATCCTTATTTGTTAAAATATTGTTGATCTGAAATGTATTTTAGAAAAGTGGTTAAACAAACAGGATATTGCAAGGAAAACAAGTGTGGAAACATTCTAATTGATGATCTCAATTGTCTTGGAATAGAAAAAGATATATCTGAATGCAATGCGAGAGAATGGGGAACACATAACTGTGATCACTCAGAAGATGTATCTATCAGATGCTGTATGTAAAGATCGATGTTGTTTGATTTTTATAGCCCCTTACTTGTTTCAGATTAGCAATTATAATGAGTTAAAAAATGCATTCTGAATCTTTTTTTATCTTTTTTATATCTTATTAAAGTCTCTTTCAAAGAACAATATGATTGTTATGCATTATTAGGCTTAATAAATGTCAACAGTAGCTCTTTGTGTATATGCTTGTATTGTTAGATAATGATGCATATGTATTTAACATTTTAGATAGCAAAGTTATAGACCCTTGTAATGCATCAGAAAACGTGCGATTGCCTAACCTTGAATTGAGATATGTTAACATAGACACAACGCATTTACCCAAGTCAATCAACGATTCGAAACTGCCGTTTCGCTGGTATAATGTTGGAAATAATACAATGCCAATAAAATTAGATTCCAATAATAGATGTGGGACGCACCTTCCGATATACAGTTCTTCCTCAGTTGGTAAGGTTTCCAACAATAAAAAGTAAAAAGGTTAAGAATAAATGAAATAAGATAAATTTGAAGCAAATAACATTCATTTAATTTTATAAGAACCATTTGGAAAATTTATTTCATGCTCTTAAAACTTTTGAAAGTATCTTTACGTTTGTCTTTAATGGGATTATACCAATTGCAAGCGTAAAGATATTGATGCGTGTCTTGAATTGTACACGAAATAATTAATTTAAACTTATGTCAGAAAAGAGAAACCCGAACAGAACGTAATATGTTGACTTTATAAATCATTGTTACCAAAGCACATTGTACTCCCTAAAATCCGGCTTTTAATATATAGAATTAAAAGGTTGCTTTCAAACAACCTTTAACGCGCAAATTGTAGATTTCAGAACCTTTTAATGTTTTTAAAATAGTGCACAGATCTATACGTTTGTAACTATATCGGTGTTAGTACATTTCATTAATTACATTTAAACTTAAATGTCTACAGAGAAAATTGGTGCAAATAAAACTGCTACATTTAAAGCTGTTGAAGTTGGGAACACAGATGTTTTTTATGACATTGAAATGAAGAACTGTGATGACCAATTTTATGTTTATAAACTAAGACCCACGGGTAACGATGAAAGCGGATACTGCTTCGGTAAATATTGATCCATTGAAAAATATAAACATATATTCCTTTTAATAAGAATGTAATAAATAATCTCCTTTTTCTTCTTGATATATTTTCTTCTATTTTTTCTTTTAAGAGCTCTAATTTCAATTAAATGTCTGCTTAAAATTAACTTTGATATCCATTTGATTTTAAAAATTATAATGATTCTATTACATATATGTTACATATGTATGTCACTTCGTTTTGAAATACATGATATTATTTCTTTTATAGGTGTGGGATCAAAAGGTTTGATATTTTATTTCTATACTTTTAGGGAGTATACATTATTATTTATTACGTTTGGCCAATATTTGTTTGGCCAATATTTGTCGATGAACAAATATTTATAGCTACCTTTTACATTAACTTTTACACATAATTTTACCAGTTTTATTTATTTAATATTGACATCTTGTTTCAGTCGTTAGAGACATTTATATCTGGCATTTGATTTTTTTCCGTAAACTTACAGAGACGGCACCAACATTTGTACCACCTAGCGTATCTGTTTCATTAGTGGCGAGCAATCGTACAGTTTCTTTTAAATGCAAGTTTGACCCTTATGCTAAAGAAGACTATTATTATCAAGTCAAATGGCGCGTTGAAGACAGTTCTACAAAAGTTTTGACCAAGCAGTTTTTCAAAAAAGATAACTTGGATGGGCTTAAACTAACAGAGGACGACTTTCTAACAAATAATATAGGTTTAGGAATCAATGTATGTAAAGATAACATTTTTATTCATTAAGGGATTACTTGATATTAAGCTTGTTTTATAACAGTAATGTAAGTCTTTCAGCTATTCATATTATATACTATTTAAAAAGGAAAAGTATCACACACGCACAATTTTACTCGTTAGGTACACATAAGTCATGGAGCTTTTGTGATGTTAATCATAAAATACAGTTATCAATTTTAGGAATTGCTTTGACATACTTAAAACTAATTTTCATGATACTATATGTATTGTAATAAAACCTAAAACCTAGAATTACATCATCTTAAGTTCATTTAAAACTTTAAAAAGTAAGAGATCTCTTTGTAAACAATTTTGTTTTCCATTCGACATACCAGCTGTGTCATACATGATATAAAATTAACGCTATCACATTCAAATATGTCACATTCGAATAAGATATAGCAAACATCTTTTTAGATATCATGTGCAGTGCGGGCATACAAGTCACGTGATGGACTGCCAGGAACTTTATCTTCCTATTCAAAAGCTTCCTTTTTCGGCATTGAGGTTCGCACGCCATACATTAGTCTTAGAAATGGCGAGACAAAGTCGATTGAGCTGATTAACTTTGTACCAATTATTTGTCACACTGGAAATGAAGAGGTGGACAAGTTTTTGAATCAAGGAACAAATTGTGATGTTCGACTCCAATATTTTTCACCACAATATGGAACCTGTTCTGGTAAAGTATACAGGGATAATATCAAATACTATTGTTTTTTTATATTTTGGATATATGTAATTTATATTCTCGCATATATATGATTTCGACCACTGCAAAAACAAATTCAGTAATGTTAGGTTAATATATAGAAGAGTTATACAGATTTGGGGACAAGACAAGCATTAGCCCATTCTGTTAGTTTTTGTATTTTTTCTCACTTAACATAAATAAATAATTTATAGACATTTTAAAAATGTGTCACAAAGCAGTATTTCCCTTTTTACGTATGTATCACGTTGGTCAAGAAAGGTTAACATTTCCGATAGATATTTTCAATAAAACTTGTTTCGCGTGTAACAAGACATATATTTGAAAACCATATGAAACAAAAAGGTTAGATTTTCCAATTTTTACATATAACAATTTCAAATTTGATAAAAGTGGTTTCCTTATAAATAGGTGTTACACCGTATTTCAGTTGACAACAATTTGCTAACGTGAATATTTTTTCAAACAATGTAAAAGTTCTGACAATTAAAAGTTTCTGTAGTTTAGAATCAGCTTGTTAACAGTCTTTTCTTACAAATTTAGGTTGATTTCTATTCGCTTAATGTACTATAACGGCTTTTATTTGTATTTGCATGAAACTGCTCCTCATTAAGTTTTAAAGTAACCTTTATGCACCAACTAAAATCTTAGTTTATAACAAGGACATAATAAACATGTAAATGTTCAATGTCGTCTTAGTAGTTTGTCGCTTGTAATAAAGCAATTTTACTAAAATAAGCCACTTGTTAGAAGTTGTTCATATTAATAAAGTATACATATATTCTCTAAAGATGACCGTTTGTAATATTATCAGAAAATATATGTTTTTTTAATATTTATTTGTTTTTTTTTTAATACGATCAAAAACTATGCGCACGAGGACGCTTAACAAAATGATAAGAATGACCTTATGTTGTCACAAGTTACAACAATTATTGATAAGGACATAATATTATAATAGTCTTATTTGCTACACTTTATTAAATATTGCATCTGTAAGACTGACATTGTTTTAATGTGTATGGTTATAGATGGTCCATCGTTCAAAGACGGATGCGATACCCATATAGCTAATAAAGATGTTGGCAACATAATTCATGTTAATATAAGCTCGGCCGAAAAGGGACAATATGGAGTCTCAGGGCACTTCAAAGTCTACCTGTATGTTGCAGCGAAAGATTATATGAAACTTTGGAGCAAAACCTACAAACTGCCTGTTATAAGTGTAAGTTGCTTTGGATATTTCTCTATTTTTATAATTATAGCATATACCATGAAATTCTCAGTATGTGAAATATATGAAAATGCAGTATAGGACAAATTACAGACTAAAATATCATACCTTCATGTATGTAGAGGAGCTGATTTATATTCTTTTTTTTCTTTCTTTGTGGGGAAGGATGATTCTAAGTCTTAAAGGATAAGCGTGAAAATATATGTATTTTTTACATATTAGAAAAGTAACAAAAAACAAACAAGTTAATCTTACGATGAATAAATACTTTTGAAAAATAAAAACTATTTAAAAGCATCTGTTATAAAGTCAATAGAAGTAGTCATAATGAGTAACGAACAGCGATTTAAATATTTTAGGTGGATGTTTTGCCTGAGGAGCAAACAGATTGGCGGGGTGCTATATGCAGTGCTAGAAATGATCCTCATATGTATACATTTGATCAAAGGTTAGTTATGTTAGTTGCTAATTTTACTTAACTTTAGGAAACTTGCTTTTATATTAACCAAGAGAAAACTAGATCTGATAAAATAATATATTTTGTACAAAAATCGCCTTACTGGTAACTAAGTAACAAATTACTAAGTTTGAATTTGGCACAAATATCAACTATGTAGAAGATTAATTTAAAACTTGGCTGACAAAGACACCTTTTGTGACAATATTCCTTAAGTAGTACAAGCCTTATTTTTCCTGTCTATTATGACATTTGCTACATTAATTCTACATTGCATTTTTTCAGCTGATAGCAAAATTCTAATACTAGAATCTAATGTATTCTAAGATTATAAAATTATTGAAAACCTATGTTATATTGGTGTCCCCGTGAGAGTGTCAAGTTAGTGCATTAGAGCATGAGAATTGAAAATGCAAACTTAAATAAAGTTTAATCATGTTGTGTTTCAACTTCAATTTTGTGATGCATAAAAATCAAGAACATTCTGCAATATTCGTTATCCGTTGGAATTAAATGGGCATCGATATTACCAGAAGCAAATGGTTTGCAGAGAACTAAAAGGGAAATACAACTGAAATAGGAAAAGTATTCAAATAAGATTATAAAAATAAATATTCAGTCATCTGTTAAAAGACAGCAGTGAACTTCATAGAATATGTATCAATTGCAGAGCTTACGAGCATCATGAACAGAGTGGTGAATATATTCTGTACCGACATAAGATTTACAAAACAGTTGAGGTTGGTCTTTTTTTATACGTGGTATTTCAATACACCTATACTGAAGTCAACAAATATATACAGTTTTTAAATAGATGCAGACAAAAACCTGATGATAGCTATTATTATAATTAATATATCATCTTCAATTTCTTAATGTAGTTTTGTGTTTAAAAATATTATTTTCATAGGCTTATCTTTATTACCTGAGGGAAGGCATTTTTATACGGATTAGGTGAAAGAAGTTAAATGATGATTAAAGAATTCAAAGGATTAAAGGGTATATAAATTAAAGAAAATCAGCCTATGATGAACTAAGAACTTAACTAAAAGTGATTTGAATAATAATTTTCTGATGTTTGATTTCTAAAATTCAGATACAACATAAAATAGCACCGTGTACAGGTGATGACCAATCGGCACAATGTAACTGTGGATTAGCCGTAAGAGCAGGCAGAGATGTCTATGTAATTAATGTGTGTGATAACTTGCTCGTAATTGGACTCACTCATTGCGGCGACGAAGCGTTGACTATTAAGAAAGAAAATGATTTTACCTACACAGTAAGCTTTTCATTTGTATTGATCATGCACTTTTCCCTTCAGAAAGGAATTCGAAATTTACCTTCCCCTCCCTAATCCCAATAAATTTAACTATACACTCTAAGCCCTGTAATTTCCATTCTCGCGCTTATTTCACCAATTAACTTCGTATTTGTTATTATTCATTACCCAAGTTTTTATAATAATTCCTTCTTAATTGACAATTATAATCAATATTGTGTAGCGCTATTCTTGCTTCTTCCTTGCGCGGGTAGCCTTACATGTGGTCCTGTGCGACTGCTTATTTTGGGAGGCTGCGTTCAGGAAAAGTAGCTTTCCGTTATTACATCTAAAGTTAGAGAGGCCCTAATTGGCACTATAAGAACCTGTAAAATTAACAACAAAGGACCGTTATATGCCTTGAAAGACACCCGTACGCAAAATTTAAACAAAATTTATCGTGTGGTTTATAAGTTATAGACATTTTTTTGAACTAAAACTTTGCTTTTAAAGGGCACTTTCAAAAAAAAAACTCTAAATCTATATCATTAAAATCATCTAAATCATTATATGATGTTTTCTTGATTGATAATTGTCAACAAACAAATACATTTAAAAGCATAGAGCAAACAAATCATACGTTTCTACGCAAAATGTTTAGACTTTGACGCATATTAAACCAGCGTTATTCAAATTATCCCTAATACTTACCACAATCAGGGACTGTTTTCAAAGGTTGTCTAAATTTTTGAAAGTATATTGGTTGCTCTTGCAAAATATAAAATACTTTTACCTCGTTGTTTTTATTTTATTAAACTAAATATATTACAATATTTGTTATTAAATTTTGCATTATTTGTCCTATAAATACCTATAAAAGTTATATATTAATTAAAATAAAACTATTTTTTGTTTCCATAAGGGATATGAGAGATACATTAATAATTATAAAAAGAAACAATAAGAAATAATAAAGAAATGCCCCTTCTGGTTTGAAACCCACGCCCTTCAGTTTCAATGCAGTTGACACTAATTTTAGCCTATTTGATTACTTTTCGAAGCGGAAGTAGAGCATTAGGGGTATACTATCTTATTTTAAACTATATTTACTTTGTATTCATTCAATGCTTAAGTGCACGAATGGAGACCTAAAAACATTGATGGCATGGTCTTGAGCCATCTCCAGCTTTAAACTGAAGCTGATTACTGTGATAAATCAACACGTGCAGGGCTAAGCTGGAGTTGGTTTGTTATTCAACAGTTTTAAGTATTTTATGTCCGACAAATTAAAATGATTATGGTATTTATTTCCAAAGCAATACTTTTTAAAATTAATATTACATTTGTGTTTTATGATATTTGATTGCAAATATGTGTAGATGTTCAATCATAATTATTTGACTACAGATTTATCTTCCTTTTGGAACGGCCGTAAGAGCAAGAATTGACAATCAGCCATTCGCGGGCCAAGAAGGTGGAAAGGTTTTAGACATAAATATTTTACCTTCAGTCCATGACAAAGGAGGGAACAGCAGAGGTTTATGTGGAACATTAAATAACAACACAAGAGACGATTTTCATCATAAGGATGAAAAAATTGGAACTATTAACAATAGAACAGAATTCATAAGAAGTTGGAAAGTTTTGCCCAGTGAAAGTCTATTTTCACTGCAAGCGGTCAATGCTAGAGATTTAGAGCCGTGGGTGTTTCCAATGTGTACTTGCGCTTCTGAAACTTCGAACCCTCTGTCGTGTAACAGAAGCATATCCGAATGTACACCCGGAATACGAACCGGGCAGCACAGTTGTGGGGAGGTATCATCGCGACGGTCTGTTAGATCTTTGACAAAGAGACCAATAATACCGATTGTCCGGCGGACTGATCATTATGCCAGACAGCATAGAATTATCAGAGTAAGTGTAACCAATTGAATATGTTATTATTTTATTAAGTTTACTTTTAAGGCCTACTAAAATGCTTTTGTTTTTATTTTTAACAGCTTTATTTAATATCTTTTTTTTCAAAACGTTACTTATTGGCCAGTTACCTATACATTTTTTTGATACGTTTCGGTAATTACATATATTAAGGACAGTTTCAATTGATTTAGTATTTTATATAGAAGTCATACGGTTTTATATATTGTAAAATTAGCGTTACTTTCTTCAGATGATAATTATCGAACAGTAAACCTTTATTTATACTTAATAAAGTTCAAAAGAAGGAATGAGGAATAATGTACACTTAATATATTAGAAAACGTCTTTTATTAAAGAAGACTTTACTAGTTAGACTGGATTAGTTGTAAAGTACATCCTTGAAATTAATTAACGTTAAGCTTTTGTATCAGTTTCTAGAACAACCGCAACAAATATATATTTTAAAAACAGTCTTATTTTTTCCGTCTTCATCAAATATAAGAAGTGATTAGAAATAACCATAGTTTTGAAGTGAAATGAAACAAAACCAAAAAAAATCCTGATTTTTTTTCCAATTAAAACAGGTGCATGTCAGATTATGATAAAAGAAAAGGGATGACTTATGAAAGCCAGTCATTTTTGTCATCTGTCGTTGCAGCATCTTAATATTCTTTATACCTATATATTATAATGTTCCAAATACAATAATAACATTTGTGCAAGATAAAAAGAAGGTTTACATCAAAATTTTGAATTATAAACATTTTAAGCTGTTAAACTGGCCTATTTTCACTCATTTAACACTTAAAAGTGTATATACATTTGCAAATTTATCTTAATTCAATAGTTTTCACCTAGCCATTCCACAAGAATAAAAAAACAAAAACATGGCCCCTTGCAGACTCTGACTCCACATCCAATGCACAGAATGTATTTACTTTTCAGAAAGGACGTTCTGTATTAAGCATCTTAATATACACAACATTTTGGTTAATGTATCATTCCTTTTGAGAAATCTAGATAGAACATCAACGCAAAAGTTCCTTATAAATCTGTGGAAATCTGTGGAGATAAATCTCAATACACGTTATTACATAATCTTAAAGCGTCGTTATGCTCATTTTTTTTTGTCAAATTGAGCTGAATTGATTTTATATTTCAAAGGATTGACTGTTATAATGATGATTAACCACATTATAAATACAAACCTGCCTAAAGTATAAGTAGAACGTTTCAGGTAAATTCCGATTTATATTTACAGAAATGTCCTCAGACCAAGTAAGTTGTGTATCGTTCATGCAGAATAAAAAAGAATTATTTGCAAAATGTAAACTTATTTTGACTTTCACCTGCTTACTCACTAGTTACTGCATACCCTTTGATATGCATAATGTCATCTTAATTTAAAAGATAATTTCAAATTTAATATTTTTCTTCAGAGAGAGAGTGACGAGAGAAGTTGGAACAGGGAACAGGCAACCACTCATTGCAGGGAATACTTTTCAAACTTGAAAGCCTTCGAGTTATGTCAGAAGATTCCATCAACGCACACTAATATTTCGGAAGAGAATTGTATTCTTGACATTCTGGTAAGAATGATGCAAATTATCTATAAGTCAGTCGGAAAAGTACTGATGAATCAGACATAGTGTTTTTTTAATAAACATATATTTCATATACATGTAATATCAAATTATATTTTTTAACGACCATGGGAGGAAGTAACTCACCACATTTATTTCAAGTTAAACATAAGCACTTTCGATAATTTGTTCATAGATCATAGTCGTGTTTCTTAAAAATGTAAAATTATTTAAAAGATAAGATGAAATGTGTACTAAATTTCTAAGAAAGCCTTTTAAATACGCGACCTCAATACCCTACTGATTATTAAACTAAGTCAATATGAATATTCAATTCGGTACAAGTGATTGATATTGCTTTATTTTAGCCCTTAAATACATGACCCCAATTCCGAATTGATTACATAACAAAGTCAAGATAAGATGACCATTCAGTACAATTGATTGATATTGCTTTATATTTTAGCTTACAAATTCATCTAAATGGACAAGCATATCTAAACAATCGATGTTGGATACCTGTCAAACAGAAATCCACCGAAATGCAAGTGTGAGACAAGTGTTAATAGAGAAAGCGAAGAATGCAACGATTGCGGCAAACACAAATTTAAATATAGGAACCACACTTCTCCCTCCAGCAGAGATAAACGCGATAGAACAAGTTGAACAAATTATACAAGATATCACTGAATTATCATGTTTGAACAACTGTTCTGGGAATGGAGCTTGTAAAAATGGTTTACTTTTTTTACCTTAAAATTGTAAAGTAATTTTAATTTTTCAATCATTTCAAGGGTACATTTACAGTTTCAATTAAATTTTTTAAAGGTAACGATGCATATAATTAATGACTGTTTAAAATTTTATATAATTTTGTATATGTACTATATATTTGCTTCATGAAAACAATTAGAATAAGTTATGAAGACTTTGGCAGGTTATATTGTTCTGTATTAAGCGTTGTTTGCATACAGAATTCGAACTGTTAAACTTTTTTAGTAGCGCGAAAGAATGAAATTACAGCAGCTCATTGTCTATGCGTATATTATGCAATGAAAAGCGACGTTACAAACTTGTAGTATTCTAACATTTCAAATACGGCCCAACAAAAAGGCAGTCTGCATTATATGTATGGTAGTTGCCGTGATCCATATATAAATGTACTTTATGGACGATAACATGATCTTAGACTAGTTTATTTTAATTCAATGGTTTACGTCAATACGTTAATATGGTTATTTTGAAAATATCTTATTATTTAAATAAATGAAATATTAATCTTTTATTTTTCACTTAAACGAACGGATCACAGCCGGTGCTTCTGCCAAGCATCGTTCGATATCCTGGCCTACATAGAGATAAACCAAGTTCTAAATCATTGTTATCTCACAATAAGTATTTTGCATATCAAATTTAAGTTGGAACATTATTTTTGAAAAATAAACTGAAAATATAAATAATGCATTTGAGTGTGTCCTTCATTCGACAAGTGAAATGATTATTAAGATAAAAATTGATATTTCATTTGGCTGACTGTCATTTCTATGATTTAGGAACATGTTCTTGCAATAAAGGATTTGGTGCAACTGATTGCTCCTTGGATATCAATAGACCCCCGCGACTACAAGCTATTCTTGACAACGGACTATGTGATGAAAATGTCTCCGATTGTACTCATATTTATATTTTTGGAGAAATCTTCGTTGGAACTAATTTGACATGCAAATTACAGGAATTCAGAGTAAGAAACCACCACAAAATATATTCGTTGATTATTCCTTACTTTTGTATTATTAAGATTCTTTATCAATTTGAATAATCTTATTTAGAATGTTAAGATCTGTAAGTCTGTAAATAGAATTCTCCTTTGGTTCTGAATTTGGCTTTACATTCAACTTTCCGTAACTTGTAATAATTAGTTTTTCAAACGAGTTGAAAGATAGCTTCTTCAACTTCAACTTGAATAGTCTAACTGATACCATAATGCTATTTGTTGTTCATAAAGTTGATCACTATTTTTGTTTAGATGGCAGTTAATGAAACACGAAAGAACACGAAAGTATACCATATAAAAGGAATAGCTGAATCACTGATAGAAGCAATGTGTCCTATAGCACACATTAGCACATCCAGAAAAAGAAGATCAGTCACCAGTCCTGTAGGATCTCAAGTTGATTTTGTCCATGGTTATGAAGTTTCTGTCAGTAACGACGGATTAAATTACGGAAACAAAACGTTTGATGTATATGTCTTTGATTCAACTTGTCAAACCTATAATAACCGGTCCGTGGGAATGACCTTTGGACTGAAGGTAATATTCATTTACAGCATAATCATATAACTAAGATTGTGTATTTGACTTCAAGCCGCATATCCCGCACCGCTGTAGGTTCGAATCCCGACGGGGACTTTTGATTCTGTAATGTCCGGAAGCTATTCAGCAAGCTGACGGAACGTCGATGGTTCTATCCAGATGTTTGTTCGCGCCTGAAATAATGCAAGGACACCTAAAGTTATCAGTAATGAGATAGAAAGTCGCCATATAAGATATACAGCTATGTCGCGACGTAAAACCCAACCAAAATAATATGATTTAAAACATTGTTTATAAATCAAGTACATTTTACCCTCTTTATTTAGGCATTAATTATATTGTCACGAAAAAAATCAAACGGACTGTGAATTTTTTTTTTTTAAATGCCTGTAATAAAACACTTATTACTCTATGATATATTGAACTTATTCACATCAATGCAAATATTGTTTTATTTATATTATATTTCTTACCGTATATAAAATAAGATTTACCGTATGTGAAATCAAGTTTATGTGTGTCATTTTATTTTTTCCTTCCAATGGTATATATGTTTTTTGCATCTTGGTGTGCTATTTCTTCAAGGATGGATTCTGTCACATTGAAGGGAAGTGTGTACAGAACGGCACACTATCCATGCACCAAACTATGATATGTGATACACGTATGAATAAGTTTAATTGGACGTTAAAACAAACTACAACAACCGAACGGGTTACATCGCCAACAACAACTTCTAGTAAGTCTTAATAATGCGTTGAACGACTAAGATAAATCGTTTTTATATATCATATTGTCTTTGTCATTCACTGATAGCCACAGATAGCTGATCAAATATGTGTTTTCCTGGCCTAAGTTACAGCAATGCACACATTTGACTTTATATGTTCATAAATAATGAATAATAAGAGAATTTAAAAATGTTTCTTACTTGATGGGGTTTAGTCCTAAACAATGATATTTACTACACTTATGTACCAATGATAATATAAGGTAATGCATAACTGACTTACTGTAGTTGTGCCTCTAGTTTTGCATGTTATTGAATTATAAATGTATTTAGATAAAAGTTTTATTCAAATAATGCTTAAAAGGGATCCGACCAAAGCAGTCAAATATAAATGAAATATACATAAGGATTATTAATATGACATCATCATAATCAGCCAGTGTGAAGACAATGATTCTGTAATTGTAAATTTGAAATATCTTTTTTTTAATCTAAATTCAATTTCCTTTGATCCTGTACAAAGTTGAAAAGATGTTTGAATTTTTTTCTTTCATGAGAGCGCTAATCGATTGATAATACATTATTTATATTTTCATAGATCTTTCAATGAGCCACCTTAATCAAAGTATTTAATTTAATATTATAATAGATGATGTTAAATGGTGTGTGTACACCTACGTTACGTGTTATTTGATTTCTTTCGGGACGATTCTTTAATAACTTTAAAAGTGTTGCGTATCAATAAACTGATGGAAGTTTCATTAATATTGTCGACCAAACCGAGTCTGATATTGTCAAGTATATAATTGAGATACTTATTCTGTAAGAAAGCGTATACGTGTTTAAGACAAACCTTCGGATAATGTAATATAGCATGCTTAAAATAAACGATGATAACAGAATAAATACGAATGCTCCCAAAATAATCGAATCATTTTTGTATATGTTTCGACTGATTTCTTGAATTAATTGATGACCAGACAAAACAAGGACTGTAAACATTTGATGATAAAGATAACGTTTCGTATCATCTTGACATATCTGACTAAGTGTCATTTGACTCTTCCTCGAATGGGTCTTTGTAGTATTGCAACAATTCACACAGTGGGGCTTCAATTATCATACCAAAATCCAATACACACACTGCAATTCTTACAAAATTATCGGAAATCTTATAGAAGTTGTCATTGCAATGATTGTATCAGTTGAATATGATGTAACCTTGTAAAATCATAATGTTTCAGGTTTCAAGACAGTCAATCCAAATAAAACTATAGCTGAAATAGGTCTGTTCATTTTCTTTTCATTCAACATTTTTACGTTTAAATATTATAATATAACAGCGAGTGTATGCTGTACGGAGAAAACTATATCATTTACCATTGTAAAGGCATGACAAAACAAGAGTCAACAATTTACCAGATAATATTAATTCCATTTAATTCTATCAGCATATTATGTTCAATAATTTAATCAGTAAGCAACTGACGATATGAGTCTGTCGAAACACAGTTACTGTAGTGAAAGCTAAATGTTAACTTTCTGTTATATATTTCATTTCTTCTTTGACCTGAACAGGTAGTTGCATTCATTATAATTAAAGATTTTAATATATATTTCTCATTTGTATATCTATTTATTCAGTAAAGTCAGAGCCGGATCTTGCTGCGTACAGGATAGAGCTGACAATTGATGTAAAACTCGATAGTTCCCACGATATCAGCAAACCAAACATATACAACGAGGTCTTGAATGAAACAAAAACTTCTGTAAGTTTCGTCATTTAATAATCGTTAGTTGGTATTTTAAAGTTCTTCTAAAACTGACGGATTTCAACCCTACCTGTTGACGGATGAATGAAGGATATCGGTCCAGGAGACCCCAAAATGTATGATACGAAGAGTGACAGATTTGTTTATTATCTTTTAACATTAAATGTTTAAGAAAAAAATTATGATAATTGGCAACTGTTTTCAAAGCAAGAACTTCAGTAATGTAAAATATCTATTATAGCTTCTTTTGATATTTAATCAATACATTACGGTTTGTTTTCACATATTGTTTGTATAAAACTATAAAAACTAACCTTGAACAGACCCGTAGTAAAAAATTGCAGAAGAGGGTCATTTTGTCAGATTTGTTTGGAGGGAAAGAAAACAAGTAGTTGTAATTTTAATCAAGATTTTGTCCTTTAAAAACCCTTGCATTTTACTTCGGATTAAGATTTTCCAAGACCTATTGTTGTTTTAAGAAGGTATAATTTTCAGACACAGACCGGGGAATGTTCGTCCTTGGTGCTTGATTTACGTTGCCTATCCCCTTATCGTATATGGTCTTGACAAAAAAAAATCTACATATTAAATGGAATCTTCTGATGCAATGTCAGGTGCAAATTTCAAAACCCATACTTCTGCATTTCCTAGTTACATTTGTAACGATATTCATTCCCTTGTACTTCTGGAGTGATTGTAGGGCTGACATCACACGCCATCACTCATCCCCGTAGCCCCCCCCCCCCCCCACACACACACCCCGGCATAGATTTCCATGGGTCTGTTCAATAAACAAACGTATTTATATTAACTCTTCATTTTTCTTTTTTTCCTAGCTGATGAAATATTATCGACAAACACTTGGCCTTGGACTTAAGGACGTTGTTATAATTTCTCTAAAGTAAGAAAATCCTGCTATAAGATCTAAATTATATTCCTATATATTATAAATTTTTGTTCGCTTCTGTCAGTTTAAGTAGTAGAAAAAAATGTATTATCCCTAACCAAGATATGAACCCACAGCGGAAAGGGACAAGTGATTTGAAGGCGACCTTAACTATTCAGCCACGGAGGACCCTTTTTATGTATGGGTATGATTCCCGTTGTACACTTAGAGACAATATGTCTGTTTTCAACGTGGATTTTTACGGAAAATACTCAACGCCATAAGTAAAAACAACATGCGGTCCGTTATAACTTAATGATGAATCTGAAAAACATATCCATCTTTTAAAACAAACAAATAATGCATTGGCAACGTAACATCAGAAGTGTTTTTGCTATATACAATACTCTTTTGTAGGAATGGTAGCCTCATTGTTAAGCATGCAGTTATTGCAAAGACGGATGATTTTGTCATAAAGGCATTCTCTTATGCAATTACTGGTCTGTCAAATGGAAAACAAATAAAGCTATTTGGAAACTCTCACAGTGTCTCAAATGTGGAGATTGATGGGAGGAAAGGCTAGTACAGTTTGATTTAAATAAGCTTTTTCTGTGGTTTAAATGTTTAAATACAACATAGTGCTGTTTACTCATTGCATCATATATATTAACCATTACGAAAAAATGTGGCAAAGACATGATAAGAAAAGAACGAAAACAATATAAAATTCATTTAGAAATTCAGTAACTTTCGTAAATTCTAATCAATATGGTGTTTTCTTCGATAATGCATGCTTCTTTTTCTCAAGTCGTTTTGTTGATGTTCCAGTTGGTGTTGAATCAGAACATTTCCAGGACTTTCTTCTTTGTGAAAGTTATACACAACTGCACCAATGCATGGAGCATGAAGAATGTGTAGTGGTGCAAGGTGCTGCAACATGCAAGTACGTAGATTCGTCTACCTTGTTTGCTTCATATATGTATATGAAATAAACAGTCTCGTTAAGTTACAAGAAAGATTTACATCCCAAAAACCTAAAAAAGGTTTTCATGGTCAAGTTTTTTTATTATTATAAACACTCAGTGGTTGCATGGTTGCATTCAATAACATATGCATATACGCGTTCATGGTGTGTTCTCGTACCATTTGTATTTTTGTAACGTTGTGCGATCGAATCATTGCGGTTTTATTTGTATTGTATAAATATAAAAAGGCACAACACGGAAGGGAGAGAATAAATGCGAACATCAGTGTGGTTTGAAGACTTTTTATTGCAGGACATACCTGTGTTGGTCTGCACAAACCTTCCTTGAGACAAATACATATAATACATAGATATTACCTTCACATTTATTTTCCTTCCAGTCTGATAACGTGTCCTTCTTATCCACACATAAAATATACTTATTCATATTTTTTCAGGAAATTATCTCAGGAGGCATCTGAAGGTAATGAAAAACTTATAATTTCTAGTTTAGTAACTTGTGTACGAGAAAGCATGCAATAGGAATAAACTGTTACCTTTTGCATAAAAATATTTCAACAATGGAATCAAATATATACAATGTCCTGATTTCTAGGTTTGAATTGAGTGAGAGCACCAGTCACGTCATCTGTATCTTTTCATTTTAGTAACTCTTTGTATAATAGTGTAATTCTTTTAAGTTATACTAGCCACATCAACTTTAATTGAATAAACTAACATGATTTATGTGACAACAGGTAATACAAACATGATCATCATAATCTCGTCTACTGTTGGTGGAGTCCTTGTTATTGTCATATTTGCGCTGGTCACGGTCCTATGTTGTAAAAGAAAGAAAAACAAGAATGGGTTGAAAAATCGCAGACAAACAACTGTCCAAAACGAGTACGATGGCATCCCTCTTGATTCTGTATCAAGAAGTGATGATCGTGGAAAGAAACAGGGTCATGACAATAGGGCTTACAAGGGCGAGTCAAAAGATTCAGCAGTCGATGATATGACTCTTGGTTCCGGGTAAGTGTAAATTCTTTGGTGATGTATCCGTTAAAAGTGGATATATATTTTTATCGGGTGGTTTTTGTTATTTTAAAAATATTTTTTTTTTGTTTTTTTGTTTTGTTTTTTAGTGGTAATGCTTTGCATTTTCCGAGTTTCTGCTTTATTTTATTTTTCTCCATTGCTAAGCAAATGAGTTTGATAATGATATACGGAATATAAGGACAGATTAGGCATACTCTTTTCTTGTAAGAAAGCTTTGGCAATGTTTTTGATGTTATTGTCTTGGTTTATGTTATAACATAATATAAAAATATACCGTATAAGTACCTTCTGCGGGCTTAATATTCTGCGATTTTGGTTAAAACAAGGGGTTTTAAATTTCTGCGTATCTTATTTCTGCGGTGTCATCATTCTCGCATTGATGTTTGTTATTTCCACGTTTTAATTAAGATATTTTTACAAAATTCACCGATACAAACGGACAACATTTCAAGATTTGTTGATGTAACATGTACATTACTTCTGCAGACGACATATAATGTGTGTTCATCGTAATCACCATGTATCGGTATATAAACGTTATTAAACAAAAATCAACAACGTGCAATGACAACAATTAATTGTAATACTGCATGTGTATAAATATGAAGTGTGAAAAATAAAACTATGGTAATACCGCACGTTGACACAATATATTGTACACATACAAAAGGGTATGTTTATTGCACCCGTCAAACTATTATTATTATAGTTTTATTTTAAGTTAAATCAAGTTTAGGGTGAGTGAAACACATACAAACACGATATTTGATATTTTTTAAACAAAAAGAGCATTTAGTCAAGTAAAGTAACTTTTTTTCTAATATTTTATTCATGACGGATACATAAAGAAAAATTCCCATCTACAAAATCTAATAACGGTACATGGTAATGTAAGTATACAATACAGGTAGTTGACATATTCCGACATACATGTAGACATAGCGAAAGGCTTAATTTTCTGTGGTTTTTAAATCTGCGGTGTCGCAGAAATAGCAGAAATTAAGTTCCCGCAGAAAAAGTACTCATACGGTACTTCAGAAAAATGCGCTCTTAGCAATTTAAAACGTTTATGAAACTACGTACGTTTTAATATCAACAAATATAAAATATATATATTGGTTAAAATGTAAAATATATAGACCACTTTTGATCGTAAAGATCGAAGCATGAAATATCAAAATTATAGATTTGGATTTGCTTGAAGCATATTCTTTAAATATTTGATTATTTATTTAATTATTTATATATTTATATTTTTATTTATTTATTTATTTATCTATTCAGATCAGTGTATAATGACGGGTCCTACGTAGAATCCAAGGACGGTTACATTTATTACTATGGAAAAAACAAACAGGATGATCGATTATAATCAAAACAAAAACGTTGATTTTCAAATGATTACAAACATTTTAGAAGTTTTCAGTTTTTATGAATAATTCAATATAAAACTGTGTAATTGTTATTCTATTTTATTTGCAAATATTGCAATTTTTTTATTAATCAGAAATTAAATAAATTATAATATACTAACCTAGATCAATTGAAGAGAGATAGGTATTTTCTTACACATTTAAATATAAAAATAATGAGGTTAACAACGAAACAATAATCGGCGAGCTCGAGATAACCTAACCTTAGCATAACATGCATTAGAACATTGCAAATTCCTAAAAAAACATCAAAAATAGCTGGCACCAAGTCTTGACGATAACAAGGAATCGTTGATTCAAAAATTAAGATATCTTATTTAATTTTTATTTTGTCAAATTTAAAAATGAATATTGTATTTACATGCATGTACAAATAATTAATGATTACAATAAACCAACGCAAAGTGGCGGCATGTCTGAGTGGTTAACGCGTCGGACTAGTAATCTAATGATCGCTAGCTGCATGGGTACAAACCCTGTCAGGGGCAAGTCGTTGTTTCCTTGAGCAAGAAACTTTACTCTCATTGCTCAGTACTGGTTGGTTCCAGGAACGGATTTGAAAGTGTATCTATAAGCTTATAGCTTCCTACACAATCGAACTAAAATTAATTCAGTATAAACCAAACCAACACATAAAAAAATTGTTACTAGGTGTTAAAACGTTTGTGGTGCTGTTTGTAGTATCTTTAGTCAGCATTTCATGATTTATTACTAAGCCGGTGCGGCCGGGAGTTTTTTGGTTGTTTAGTTTTTTTCTTTGTAAAAGCAAGTTTGCATAATAATATTATTGTTGTTTGATACTTCTAAATTCCTTAAGGTCGAAGTCTCTACAATGTTGATTTAATTAATATTTGTGTAGGGGAGAGGACACTTTCTGTACCATCCCAAAAATGTATTATGTTAATTCACATTTGAAATGTAATGATGCTGAATAATTGTTGAATAAATATGTTTAAACCTTAGTGTTTAATTATATTTTATTTCTGTTACTGCTACTTGTATATCAACAAATTGTTTTTAACGATCAGTTGGGTGTCCAGTGATTTGTAACCGTTAAGACGTTTGAAAATAAAGTAACTGAATCAAGCGTTACCATTTCAACACAAATATCTGGCAAAATGTTTCGGTTTTTTTTAAAGATGAGAATGAGGGGCTATGATGATTTAGATCTATTATTTCACACCTTAAAAATATAGCCAATGAATTTTCAGCATTTGATCTACGAAATGCTCCAATAGAAATAGAAATCATAATTGCACCAAAATCTTATCAATTTAGGTTATCCCCCTTCTGTCAAACCCTTGATGTACCATTTTGATGGGGGCGGCGCCGAAAACGTGATCACTTTTTTAACAATATTTCTCAACGAAAAACAGTGTTTGGGGTCTAAATAGGGTATTTTTCACTGGTTGAGACCTCAAAAAGGGACAAGGAAAAAACCGTCAAAATACGTCTATATGAGTTAAAAACTCAAAATCTAATGAAATCAGCAAACTAACCATGTTTAAAAGTTGACAAATCTGCAAGGAACACACGATACTACATGGTTTAGCAAATTTCAGGAAAACCTGACAGGGAAGTTTGGGGTATTTTTCTTACCTATTACTACTTCATTTGTGAATTAAAATGATTAATCTGATGTTTTATATATTAAAATATTTAAATATAATTAGAACCTAAAATATTTATATATTATCTTCATTTACTATTTGATATTGCTCACACTTCCTGGCAATATTATTTATTATTTGAATGGCAACCAATTTGTTTAAGAATAACTTTCATAGACTCAAGCTAAACTATGTAAACTTCAACAGATTTAAATGTAAACGAAGAAGAGTTATCTCCTTTTTGGAAAGTATCGGAAAATAACCCCCTCGCAGCGGTTACTCTCCTTGATCAGTGCAGTAGAAGGAAAGGATATCACTGCGTGGAGATTGATCGGACAACACCAGAAGAGTTTTCTCCCTTACAACTTAAAAGGCTGGAGTATTTCAATAAAAAATAACCAGAAATATAGCTCATGTTTTGTATTTTGAAACTGAAATCTACTCTAAATCTTAAGGTTGGAAAATCCATTACACATATCAAGCTGATCACCTTTGTGTGTGTGTACGAAAGGAAACATTTAACAAGAATATTTCTGAAAATTCATATCTAAATAAATAGGTAAATTTCCTCAAGCAACATTCCTCCAGATTTCTTAAAATATAAATTAAGACATGTCACAGTTTGTCAATGAAATCACTGTACCCCGTCTTGCGAGCATATTCGATTTAAAGGTGTACCCTGTCTTGCGATAACAAGCATGTGTTGCTTTAGATAACTGTACCCTTCTTGGGAGCCTTCATATTTTAACTTGTACCTTTCTTAGAATAACATGAAGTACAATTACTTATGTGCTGTGCATTTCATTCGTATGTTTATAATTATCAATGCAACCACTGACACTTTTAAATAAAACTACTATATATTAACGACAAAATATTGTCAATTTCATATGCATAATTTGAAAGTTTTGGAAGATCAGGGCGCTTGGCTTATATCTGTCTGACAGAGTAGGGGAATTACATAAAAAAAATCTCAAAACCATTATTTTGCAACTTTTTTTTAAAAATGAAAAAAGAAAAACCCAAAAAAACCCCCAGTTTTTTTACAAAGATTTTACTTAAATTTTACCTTTACTAATTTATTAAGAGTGATTTAAATTTCAACCCAAGATATAATGAGTTTCTTAAATTGAACTTTTCCAGCTTCCATTTATTTGGAACTATTTAATACTGAGAAATCAAGACACAATTTAAAATTTGTCAAGCCAGCAGTAGTGGTCAAAATGGCCACAATTATGTTGCAGGCTGGTCTGGCTATATCCAAGTGGCAAAAGCTTTAATATCGCTTTCCCTTGCTAAAAAAACAGAACGGTATAATAATTATACTACTGAATTATCACAAGAACTTTATTTTTTCCGGAGGGGGGATGGGGGCTATAATTAGTCATTGATAGTAGAAGACCAACTTTGAGGCAACTCCCAAATCTACGAGATATTTTTTTGTATATACACATGCCATACTTTGTACCTATATGTTTAAAACTTACTCTTTCAAGTTTTACTGGTGGAAGATGATGCTTTGTGTATTATTTTTGTACCTTGTGAATACACAAACAGAACCACCAACCTTCCATAAGCTAGCTTGACAACTTCCCCTGGAACTTGAAAAGACGAGGTTCATCATGTCATTCCACGTATTATTCTGTTTTAACATAATTTCCTGTTTATCACTAACATAAAATAACTTATCAGTTAAAGTAACTCCAGTGTGGTCTAAAAGCATACAACATTTTAAAATATAATTTCTTACATAGATAAGCTGCATCAACGAAAACAGAAATATATGTAAAAGAAAACCAAAAAATAAACCCAGAAATAAATAGAAAACCATATTTTTGTGCTGTTCCTGTGCTCATTTATGTGAAAAGCTTTTCAATGCTTAAAAAAATGGTCATTGTTCACAATTAGAATAAAAAAAAGAAATTTTGGAAAAATGAAAAAAAAAGAATGGTAAGAAATTTTACATTCAAATTGATACCTATTTATCTCGAAAAATTATTTCCCGTTCCATCATGTCAAAAAACCTCAGTGGAGTACCTTCAATAGTTGAAAAAGAAATAATTTCTCATCGACATGCTGATAGTGCAACAGGATTACAATTGGTCAGTTTACATTTGTACAGTGCATACATCATATTCAGATTGATGCACAAACTATTTTATGCATTTGGAAAAGTGACTGAATGGTGTCTTATGATGTAAAATACACCGTCTATATAATAAGAAGGGCCGAGACATTTATAAACATACCAAATGAAATTAAATAGAGATAACTCTGCTGCACATATCAAATATAATATTTTACAGTTTATCGACATATCTATCTTCTACATGCATTGTATCTTTGAGGTGAATTCATGCAAGCAATACATGTTATCTTATAAAATGTAAGTACTTTTTTACATGCATAAAATTTACAATTACATAAATTTCAAAACATTATACATGAAGCTATAAGGTTGCAGTGATCAAATGAGGTAGTGAAATGACATGGACAAAGTTATGTCAAAATCTTGTGTCAAAATCTGTAAAATAATAATATTAATATGTGCTTTCATACTGGTTCAGTCAACAGGCCAAATTTATTTGTATTGTTAACTTAGCCATAAAATAGTCTCAATATGAATGTTTGAGGTCAATATGAAATTTTACAAGTTAAATGTCATTTCTATAAATTATTCAATGCTGTCACCCAGTAATACATTTGCAAACTAAATCTCCTTGTTTTATATGTGATAAGAAAAAAAAATACAGGAATTCAGCCGACCCCGAAAAAATAACAACCCCCTTCCACTTAGTACATTATTCCAGTTTTTTAAGATTAATAATAAACTAAATTTTAGCACAGCAAATCACCTCTTACAAAAAGTGGCATTTTTCCAAAGAGGATTTCACAAAAAAATATACCCCAAACAAAATTCCCTTTTAAAAAATTTTTTTAGAGCGACATCTTCAGCAAACAACCCAAAAACTTTTTTCTCAAAAGGGTGTTTAACTTTCAGAAAAGGTTTTTTAAAGTTTAATTTTTTTAATTAATAACTTTTTTTTGTCCTAAAATTCATGTTTAAAATTTTGTAATTTTTTCTGCAACGCACTCATGTGAAAAATTTGACAATAAAACATTGAAAACAAAAACATTTTACAAGGAAATACAGAGCCCTCAAAAGTCTGGAGACAATTCAATAAAACTAAGTATTCTTGACAAAATGCTTAATTAAATTCCATTTGGATGTAAAATAATACATAATTATTCATTCAAATCAATATATCATCACAAAACAATGCACAACTTAGACTAAATGGTATCAAATGCCAAATATTGTCTCATTTAAACTTACAGCACAACACAGTACAGCACAAGATCACACAGTTAGTACTAGGTGTGTTCAGCTTGAATTCTTCTTGGCATACTCTTAACTAATATTCTACATCTATTAGCTGTCAACTCATTCCAGGAATCACAAACATTGACTGACAGTTCTCTCAAATTAACAAGAAATAACAGGTATATAATAGGTCGAGTTCTAATCATTTTCGGTAGTAGATATGTATCTTACTTTGATATTGCATACAAATCAACTTGCGGATCAAACGAGAATGTAAGAGGATATGACATGCCAAAACCGTTGCGAACGTTTTGAAGCAAACATGAATATCCAAAATAGTAAATTGTTTTTTATCTTAATTCATACAGTTGTTATAAAAAAAATACAAATGTAAAAAAAATGAAGAAAAAAAAACCTCCGTCTCTGGTAAAGAAATCAGAAACGTAATATACTGTTTCATTTCATGAAATAAGAGCCCCGTTAGATGAACAGGGAATTGTTTCTAGAAAAAGTCCAGTATATACACCTCCTTTTTTTTTAATGCGTTTATTTAAGGTCGCCGCCGGAAAGCCCATATGGGCGACCGTACACTCAAGTCGGGCCATCCTAGAGCGTCCCGCCGAGATTTTTTCGTCGATTTTTTCCAGCTTTATTGGTGGAGGAAGACCCCAAGTGCCCCTTCGGGCATTATTTCAGGCACGAGCGGGCACCTGGGTAGAACCACCGACCTTCCGTAAGCCAGCTGGATGGCTTCCTCACATGAAAGATTTCGACCCGAGTGAGGATCGAACCTACAGCGGTGAGGGACCTGTGATCTCAAGTCAACGACCTTAACCACTCGGCCACGGAGGCCCCTTCCTCCTACGCCCTTTGGTACCGGTGATATATAAATGTACGAGATATTACAGCATTACGGTTACCGGTGGTCATTTCTTCACAGAAAGTAAGTCCCTTAAAACGTGCTGCTGATTTGTCATATCGAAAGACATTTTGCAGAAGATCGAAATAGAATCAGAGCGCAGCAGAT